GTACTATATTACTATGATTTACGGAAACTTTAACAAATCATTCAAGTATTCGAACAAATTATTAGTATTAGACCAAAACTATTTTATTCTCATCTCAGCAAAACTATATTAACTTTGAAGTCAAGTACAAGTACAAGGTGTGGGAATAGATCACGCCTAGTTCCAAGTGAACTCTATTTTTCATTTCATTTCGTTCCGTTCCGTTTGTTTATTATAAATTATAAATTATAAATTATAAATTATAAATTATAAATTATAAATTGCTATTTACTATTCGTTGTAATTTTTTATAAAAAGTTAAAACAAAAGCTTGATTTATCCGATTGCGTAACAAGGTTAACAATGAGAAATAAAGAGTCATCAATATAGAATAGATTCCAGTCTACATCATACCCGACTGAACTTCAATCTTGTTTTTAAAACCGTTTTCCATTAAATAGAGTTCCGTGAGTCTGGTGCAATCAAAATATATCGCACGCGAATGCGGTAAAAAGTTTAATAAAAAAACGGCAATCACCAAGGATTTTTTCGAGCTTAATTACCGAAGTGACCTAAGGAGATGATGATGATGATGCCGTGATCGATGGACCTATATTATCCTTGAGATTATGACCCGAAGCGGTTATAGTTTACAATGATCAACAGTTAGGTTCATTGGCCTAATATTCTGTTGGTATGATTGGTTTAATTGTTGTTCGAATTATATAATTATAAATTGTTGTATGAGAGGCTATTATTATTACTTATAATATAAGATTGTTTATTTTTATAACCAACAATTCGCATTGTTACGATTATGTTACCCTGAGAATTTTTTAATTTCAAATTTAATTTTTGACATTAATTTCATTTGTCGTTTAATTGTATTTCTATTGAAATAATTATTAATATTATTATTAATCTGAAAATTTTTCAAGTAATAACTTTTATTGTTAATCCCACTGTAAAGTCAATAAAAAAAAATTAATAATGAAAATGATTAAAAAAGATATATTGAAAACAATAAAAATAATAGAGCCTTTGGCCGAAAGCAATAAATTCTATAAATAATAAATAAATAATTTATTTATTTAAAGATAAGTGTAGGGCTGATCAGAGGATCATGACCTAGACGTAAAGTGTACGTCCTTCGACGAGTTGGAAGATGCGACGAGTGCAAAGATCCTTCAAGGTCGCTCTCGATATATATTAATGTCCTTGTCTCGCTAATGAAGCCTTAGACTCGGTCTCTAGACGGTTATTTACCCTCTTTACATTACATCTTCACTCGATCGATCATTTGGAATTAGTGGTGGTCATGGAGGAGGCCACGGTGATTTTGGAATAAATGGAGGTTTTGGTATTGGAGGTACTGGAGGTTATGGTGGAGGTTCCGGATTTGGATCTAATAGTAATGTTAATACTAATGCTAATGCTAATGCTAATGCCAATGCTAATGCTCAATCACAAGCCGGTAAGCTACTATCGCCGATTTTTAAGCAAAAACTCTTATTTTTATTAAAAATTGTAACCATCAACAGAAAAACTAATTATTTAATGAATTACAGGTGGCGTTGGCGGTGGCGGATTCCAATATCCATCAGGTGCAGGATATAATCAAGGTAGTGGTGGTAAATATGGTGGTGTAGGGTTTAAAGTTCCTCCTCTTGATCCTTGTTTTGCACCTGGTTCCATTAATTGTAAGCTTTTTCTTCAATTTCTAATAACTTAATTATACTCACCAGAACTAAATGATACTGAAAGAAGAAATAACCTGAACAAAGTTTTTTATAAATATATTTATTAAACTTTCAGTATCATGTTATAAATTATAATTACTATAAAAATAAATAAAAAATGATGTTTTTTTTTTTACAATTAATAGGTCCCGTACATGGACAACAACAGGGATACGGACAAGGTGGTTATTATAATCAAGGAGCTAATGGGGGATACAATAATCATGGAAGCACTGGATACAATGGCTACGGAGGCAGCCCTAGTTACGGTGGTGGTTCTGGAAGCTCTATTGCAACTGCAAATTCTAAAGCAAACGCTCAAGGCCCTAACACCAATGCAGACGCCAGTGCTAATGCTTTATCAAATGGATTTGGTGGCCCAGCGATTGCCAACGCTCAAGCTCAAGCTAGTGCTAACACCAATGGTGGCGGTTTTGGTGACCCGTAAGTATAAAAATTTGTTTTTTCACTATAATATTTATTTTAAAAAAGTAAAAACTCGTTTACGCGCTCAAGGTCAACTTGACTTGTATGCTAATTAAAAGTGTTTGCGTTTGGGATCTTCTCTTTATCATTTAAATGATGAAATTTTAAAAGCTAGGTTTTCTTATTCTTTGTATTTGAGGTTCTTCCATTCGCGTCTGGGAGAAGAAACCGACAAAGAGCAACCGAGTGACACTAATCAAAAGACACCAGAAGTTAGCCAATCTGGAACTATTGAAGGCGCCAAGGGAGTTTACAGCAGCAGCTCATCCAGTAGTGACAAAAATGGTAAAGGCTCTTTCCACGTTGAAGCGGGCAAACTTAATTGATTAATTTCGTATTATTCACCTCAGTATATATATTTAAGATTTATTTTATACAACTTTAATAAATATTAACAGACTTGTTTATTATCTTGTTAAGAGAAATATTAATAAATATGTTTTTAGTAAAATAACTTTTGGTTTTATCTTTTTTATTATATAATTATATAATAAGTACATGTTGGAATTTATTATTTGTTTATTTATATGAGCGGTAATAAAAATTGTGAATAGAAAGGTCTCGAGGTCGGGTGACCGTGACAGTGGGATTAGATTACGATGAGGCTTTTCCTAAACGTAAAATACATACTCTGCAGGCATATATATCATTAATCATTATACTTATTAATGTATGTTAGCAGTTTTAGCTAGACGTTTGTTGATAAATATTGCGTAATTTAGCTCTTTACAGTGCATGATGACGTCTTGTACTTTTTATTATTTATCAGCTTTTAACTATAACAATATTTCATTGGAATAAAACTTTAATTGTGAAAAATTGTTTTTTTTTTTTTTTTTTTTTATTTCTTAATTAAATATTATTTTAGTCAAAAAAATTTTTTAAATTAATAAAAAAATTTCTTAAAATTATCATTATTATAAATTAATAACTAAAAATATATTTGAAACTTATACAACTTCATTAAAAATGATCAATTATATTGCAAATAATATATATTTTTATTAAAAATCAAATTGATGAAAAAAAAAAAAAAAAAAAAAAATAAAACAAAGTATATTGATCGAATAATAAAAGACAAAAAGATTTTTTCAACTTTTTCTATATCTAATGATATTAATAATGATAGTAAATTTTCTACTGTTGTATAAATCAAGCAGCCTCTAGAATCGAAGATAATTGTTTCCTCCAGAAACTGTACCAGATGACATAGCACTGCTTTGACCATTATTCGGTCCAGAGCAGAAGCAGTTCCAGTAGCAACAGAGCAGCTACCGGTTTTCCAAATTGATTTATTCCTGTTGTTGCGCCTAGCTGAAGCAGAGTTACTATCTCCATAGCCACTGTGAGAATGGCTCGATGAATATGTGAATGAGCGTTTCCATGTTGATCCAAAAACGTATCAGCTTGTGTGCGTCAGATCCTGAATGACCATATCCATACCATATGAGTAATACCTCTGAATTTGATCCACAGATCTCGCAGATCCCCACCATATCCATAAGTTTCTGTCTCGGAATAAGAATCTACGTATCCATTATCACCATCAACTTTTGTATCTCAGCATTAGACGTGTAGATTCACCAAAACCAAAATAGAGTTTAGCGTTTGCGTCGAACCTTCCGTGATATAACTGTTTGAAACTGCATTGGCATTAGCTGAAGAACCTCCGCCATAATTTCTGTATATTGATAATTCATATTAATAAATATTATAGTTTTATAGTATAGCAAAATCAATAATTATGATATTGAATTTACATACACCCGAAATTTAATTGGGTATGAATGAGAAACATCGTCAGGAGGAAACTGAAAATCCTTAGTTTTTACAATTCCTGTGGAAAAAATGATTGATTAATTGTTATTGTTAAGCTAGGGAATGTTTGTTATTGGAATATTTTTTCTTCCAATAAGTTTTAAATAAATAATATTTTTTTCTACTACTTTTTGTATGATTTTAATCAATAATATATATTAATTAAATGTTTAAATAAATACACAAGTTATAAAAAAAAAAACCCACCAGCAATAACAGATACGAAGAAAAGAAGAAAAGTAGTATAATCAGCCCCATTTTAGTCCCTAAAATAATATATAGAGACACAATGTCTTATTTAATCAAGACCAAAATTAAACTGAGTGATATGAATATATAAGAAATCGTCGAAATTTTATAGGTGTGAGAGATAATTATATCAGTAATTACTTAATAAACGTGGTTTTTACCGGGATTAATTCTCCGAAATCTTCGAAATACAAAAAAGAATACCAGTCTTTTCTTCATTTTGATCTTTTGTAGTGACTTTTCTCACTATACATTTTCTGTCTTATTAAGCATAAATATTTGTTCTGCTTTATACATATATTTATTATTATTATTAATTATTATGAATAAGTTTTATATTTATAAAATAATTATTGGGTTTTTTTATTTTTTTTATTTAATGTTTAATTGATTTCTCTTCAATTAAAAGATTATTAAATTTTTTTATATAGTTTCAAGATCATAAAAATTATTGGGTAATATTCATATATATATATACATCAATTACTATAATTAAAAAATGAAAATGATAACAAGTAAGAATTTTGTTTACTTGGGTATTTCCAAAAAATTTTAATTAGATAAATTTAATCCTTTTTTATCATAAAAAAGCAATTGATATATTTCAATTTTTAGGTTTTATTAAATAAATAAAAAATAAAAAATAAAAAGTAGATTACAAATTATATATATATTTTTATAAAAATCAAATTAAAATACAAAAAGATTACTTTCATCAGTCTTACAAATCTAGTGATATAGTTTAGGTTGAGGTTGAGCTTTGCTGTCATCATTAGCATCATCATCAGCATCATCGACTCCGCTTCTGTAGCCGAAAGAATATTGATTATGACGCCACGGATAAGGCATAATGTTTCGCGGATAGTTGTAATATCCTTGGTTATTCGGATGATTGTTTCCTCCAATAGCAGTAGCTGCTGACATAGCGCTGCTCAGACCATTCGGTCCAGCAGAAGAGCCTGCAGTACCAGTAGCGACTACCGGTTGTCCAAATTTATTTATTCCTGCTGCTGCGCTAGCTGAAGCTGCGCTGCTACCTCCAGAACCACTATGAGCATGGCTCTCTGATTTTGCATGAGCATTACCATATTCATCGACATACGTTTTAGCGCTTGCCTCAGATCCTGAATTATCATATCGATTACCAGTACCTGACTTTGATCCAGCTTCCGCAGATCCACCATGAGGGTTGTTCTCTGCATTAGACCAAGAATCTGCCCATCCATCATTGCCCTGAGTATTTGCATTTGACTTAGCATCGGTATGTCCGTAATGATCTACATTTGCACTGGACTCAGCCGAAACGTGTCCGTTATTATTTCTATAATAACACGTCAAATTAATAAATTATAATTTTATAGTATAATAATAATAATAATAATGAAATATAACATACCTCCAAGTTGGATATGAATTATAATAACCGTCGTCAGAAGGAAACGTAAAATCTTGAGTCCTTACTATTCCTGAAAAAAAAAAAAAAAAAAAAAATTTTATTTAAAATAATGATAAAATTAGTAGATTTTAATTAAATGTTTATCAAACTAACCAACGAACACGAAGAAAAGAAGACAAGTAGTAAACGAAGACATTTTGCTTCCCGAAATGATAGACGTTGTCATCGATCAAGACACCAATATCAACTGAGTGATATGAAGAAACCGTCCAGATTTTATATATGGAAGATGATGACCTGGTACGCTTGGTTTTACCGGACCTAAATCTACGTGATGTAAAAAAAAAAAAAAAAAAAAAAAAACAAAAAAAAAACAAACACCGGTCCCCTCTTTTATGATTTTTATTTTTCTCAATTTCAACTTTGACGTCTTCGGGTAATAAATAAATACCCAAGATATATTTAAATAGTGAGAGATAATTCTTGTAATTTGGTTCATTGACTTTCAGGAAATACGTAAGTTTTTTCTGTTAATCGCTTACATTATATTATTTCAGGTGATTAAATTATGTAACAGATTTATTTAAAAGCGTGTTCTTTATTAGAGAGTTCTTTTTATGAGGCCCAGCAGCGAAAGGAAACCTGATCCTCACAACAAGTATCTAAGGTCAAAGTCAGCGGTGCGTTGTGTCTAACATTAGAAATTAGTTTTGATTATTACTCTCGCGTTAATAACAGACCTTCATTCAAGACACGCTGGGTTTTTTTTTCTTCAGTATGACTCGTTTTCGCGTTTTTTTAATTTGATTTACAGAGAGCAGTACGTGTCTGCTTTTTAATACTCATTATTATTACAAATGTCAATAGGATTGTTAAAAATATAAACGCAGAGTGATGTGATAACTGTTGTTGTTTATTGAATATTCAAAGCATTAGATTATAATATTTATAGATATTTTATTTTTGAAATAATTCCATAAATGACGTCAAGTTGGTGATCTTTGCTTCACCATCAACATCCAGGTTTTTAGCCGAAGCTTAAGTCAAAACCACCGGGACCTGGAAATTTATTAGTTAGTGATTATCTGGATCATAAATAATTTATTATTTCTGATTAAAATCATTATTAAATGATAAAAGTTTATAAAAATAAACTTACCAAGTCTTCCTTGTCCACCTTGATTACCATATCCATTGTCGTATCCTCCACGTCCGCGGTTATTGTCATATCCTCCACGTCCTTGATTACCGTATCCATTATTTTCACCTCTTCCTCGATTTCCATATCCATTAAAACCTAAAAAATATTTTTTATTATCAAAAAATTTACTCTAACATTATAAAAAAAAATTTTAATAATAATTATAAATACCTTGGGCTTGACAAAGGACAATTAATGCAGCAATAATAAAAACCGTCCAAATAAACTTCATTTTTATCAATACTTGGAAAAATATTTCAATAGAAAAAAACTGTCAAGTTATATATATAAAGCGACAAATGAAACTGACAATATTTGCGAAGCTGCATCCTTTTATATGATCAAGATAGTAATAATAATAATAATAATAATAAAAGTAATGATGATAATTAAAAAGAAACAATGGTACAAATTTACTTAATAACCGGCATTGAAACTTTTCCGCAATAATTGGAAAACAGCGAAATGATTTTCTGATTGAATATACTTATTATTATTTATTTTGTATTAATTTGTCAATTATTCCATAAGTTAATAATATATTTCTAAGAATAGATTTATTATATTAATTTTAAAAAAGTTGAACATTTTTGTGATATGCCATTATTAATTGTTTATTAAAGACTGTTAGATTAATTAGTATACAAAATTAATTTTGTTATTTGATTATTTGAAACCTTGAACACTTTGTTTAGAAATTTTAGCTTTCTTTGTTTAGAAATAGTAGGCTGGTACTGGTTTAGCGTATCCGGTATTACCGTAGTATCCAGAATTACCATAATATCCATTAGCGCCGTATGGATTAGCACCATATCCGTAAGACCCGTAGCCATTAGTATTAATACCATATCCTCCTGAAAGATACAATAACTATTCGTTTATTTCATGCTAATTTTATTATAATAATACTACAGATTTAGCTTTTAATATTTTTATAGTTATTTAATGACGGTCTTAAATAAAAAATTTATTTAACTACTTTTTTGTCATATATATATATATATATATATACATTATAATTGAATAACTTATTATTTATGAAAAAATAATATTTGTTCTTTTTCAATGACTTTAATTAATTAATCAAAGTTTTTGAAAATAAATTTTGAAAGAAGAAATTACCATATCCACTGTATCCAGTAGTACCATATCCATTACGATTCCATCCATTGTATCCTAATTGACCGGGACGGTTGTAATACCCGTAAGCGTAATCCTTGTTGTATAATCCGGTATTGATTTTGTCATCTTTGGCAGTATCTGCAAGAAATAAAATTATTAATTATAATTTTGTTCACATTTAAAAAAAATAATAATATTAATAAAAATACCTTGTCCTTGACAAGCAACAATAAATAAAGCGATGAAGAGAACCAAGCCGAAGAATTTCATGTTTGTTATTTTATTTTATTAATTAGATAAGTATTATAAAATAAAATATTATAAAGAGCTTGAAATGCAAACTGATACTCCAGTCCGATGAAATAAATCCTTTTATATACTAAAGATCTGGCGAAAAAATCATAATTAAAAGGTATCTATATCTATATGACAAATCTTGATGCTTGGCATTGAGATTTTTTATTTACATGTTCTGCATTTATTAATTAGCAATTAGATGAGCGAAAAAATATGGACAATATGATTGAACAGACACGATAGATGTAAAAGTGTTATGCTAAATAGCGGGTAATTTTTTCAGAGTGAACGATTGATGAGAAGCTAGGTAGTCATTATCGACAGTCTTAACAAATAAAAATAGTTAAATAATAGGTTCACTGACAAGTTAATGTTTAGTAACCTTTTATTATTTATTGTAATAGGATATAATAATGAAAACAATTAATTTCTGATTAATAAGGAGTGGTAACTACTTATTTTAAATGATCTATGGGGACTGGGTACTCGATTGAAGCGAGCTCATATTTTAGTATTAGTAAAGACTCGACTTGTTTAAGGATTTTATTTCATTGACGGTATGTTAACTACTTAAAAAAAAAAATTCTATTGTTTGATAAACAACTTTATTTTATAACAATCAAAAAAAATTTATTGAATTTGTTTTCTTTTTTAAATAATCAACAAATAATTATTTATATTTTTAAAACAATGATATTTTGTATTAATTGTTATAATAATTAACATTATTAAAATTTACTTTTCAAAAAATAATACTACTTTTTAATTCTTGTTGATAAAAAAAAAAAAAAAAAAAAAAAAAATCAGGTATAATTTTATACAATGGATACAAAGGGTACTGCTTTTGAAGAAAAAATTTCATTATTATTATCTCTTTGAAAATTACTATTTGGTTTTAGGTAATCAATATAATCATTTTTCAATCCAGGAACAATCTTGAATAAATTATCAATCGACTCTTGAGGCAATTGATGAATAACAGCAAAACTTTTTTCTTTGAGCATTTCGCAGCATTTGGCAAATCCCTGCCAAAGCTTAGGCAGCTCCCAAACCTTCTTCAAGATCAATTTTTTCAGTACACTTAATACAAATTTCTCCATTTCCGGATACAGCGACAAAATCTGCATCACCGTGCGCATAAGTGTAATTGGTAAGCAAGTCTGATCTAGCAAGCAGCTGACGACAATCTGAAGAACTTCTTGGGTAAAAATTTTCTTCTCAGCCAAGCACATCGAGATACAGATCATAATAGTCTTAAGATCAGTCACATCTTTCTTGAAATTGTGCACCGTGATCATGAATTCCACCGGCGTGATCAAAAATTCCGTGTATTCTCTGATAAAAAATAGCCGCTTGATCACTTCCTTAGTGATAAGTGTGTTTCGCGTGATGAGCTTTGGCAAAACAGAGAAAACTTGTTCTCGACTGAGCCCTCTGACGACGGGAATCAAAAATACAATGTCCAAAGACCGAGTTTCATAAATTTTCTGCATTCTTGCAACTAGCTCACTGCTAGGAATCCTATTTTCGGTGAGAGTATGGACGAACCTCGTGACAAGCGATTCTGCTCCTTCGGGACAAGTTTCAACGATTCGCAGCAACTCTGGGCTGTTTGCTCCAAAACAACGAATCGATCTCTCCATAAGTATCTTCACCGATGTCTTTACGTCAACTGTCATCAACGGATAAATCTTAACCAGTTGATAAATTAAACTCTTGTCCTCTTTCAACAAAGCTTGATAAAGCTTCAAGCAAGATTGGACCATCGAGTTGGCCCACCTATGCTCCATTTTTCGATCTACATTTTTTCTAAGAAGAACTTGAGGAGGATTTTTCAACCTAAGAAAATTCAAATTAGCTTTTAGGTACTCTGAAATAGACTGACGGAGCTCACCGTGATTGTACAGTCCCAAGATAATATCCACCGCAGGATCACTGATACTCGAATCCTGGTGTGTAGTAAGCCCAAGGAGAATATTCAAAAACTCTAATTTGTTGGTAGTTCTTCGAAAAACTAACTCCTTCAACAAAGTAAGAGTTTCAGGAGGTGTTTTAGTTGTCAGCGATCGGATCATTTCCTTTGATATTACAGGAACAGCTAGGTAAAATCGAGTCAGCAGTACCGCTCGATCTGGGTGAGATTCGATAATTTTAATTATGGCAGACAGCAGGTAATTGTAAGGTAATTGAAAAGGCCCTTCTGTAGTCTTAGCAATAATTATTTTTCTTTTAAAGCCATGATTCAAAGCGTATTCTTCGTACACCATACTCAGTGCAAGGTCTATCCTATTCTTAACATCCTCAGAAATATATATCAGAAGTAATTTTTTTATTTCAACGTTGATAGTCGCCATTCGTACAAGTATTTTAATTTTATTAGACACATGTTGTCCAGTAAGAATTGAGTTCTCATAAGAAATAATCCTGTCGATTGATCTCACAAGCATTATTTGTTTATCAGCTGATGACAGAGAGACAATATTCTTCATTGATTTAAGTTTAATAAATTCAGAATCAATTTTATCATTATGTAATTCATTAGATTGTTTTAATTGAGTCATCACAAGCGATTTGGCGATGACTCGACGCTTAATTTCTGGATCAGCTGAAACAGAAAATCCAGAATTTTTTTTTTCAAATTCTTCGGGAGTTATATTACCTGGAACGCGAGCTATTGCATCAATTACCATCTCAGTGTTAACTGTAAGATTTTTTACTATTAAATCATCAGATATTTCATCTTTTTGAAGCAATTTTAATTTCTTCCACCGTGAATCAACTTTCGGCTGCTCTAATGGACGTTTAACAGGTGAATTACAATTATCTCTTGGCTCCTGTTTGATTTTTACATTGCTAGTCAGTATTTTTATCAGCCTCATAGACTCTTTTTTAATACCGACAATCTGGGAGGCGGACAGCGTAGGTGGTAAATCTTTCCTTAGGCGAATAATCGCCTCAATTACTTGAGCGGTGAATTTAGGACGTAATTTGGCGATTTGTCCAAGAGCTCCCATCGAAGTTATCAAGTAAATGCTGGTGATAAAAGAAGACTGGAGGTAATTAATCATCGTTTCAACTAACCGACACGCTTCTTCTTCTAGATTACGACAGCAGGTTCCTTCCAGGGTAAACAACATATCATTCAGCGAAAAATCACTTTGACTTTTGGGTGTTTCAGGATCGAGATACGTTTGAAATAACACTACATTCTCAATGAACTTGATGGCTTGCATACGCACTCCCTCGTTTTCGCTCTCGACCATGTTGATTATCTGAGACTTCAGGAAGTTCAAGTGGTTCCAAACTTCTTGGATTTCTTTGGTTATTTTTACTTTAGAAGCATCGACAATCCACCTATAAGCTGCTTTTAGGACCCAACTGCTGGCGCGGATCCCGCGTTTGGACACTTTTGGCACTGGGTCGGATACCAATCGAGACAGAGGCGGTAGCAAGTCGGGAATTTTTTCCTGGAATTTATTACTAAAAAATATAATAATAAAAATTATTAAAAAATAAAAATTCAAAAAAATTTTTAATGTTCGAAATAAAATATTGTTGAAAGTTACCCGGCGGCTTCCTCGATAAAATCAGCGATCGATTCTCGAACATCATTATTTATGTCTGAACTGTATGATAATAATTCTTGGAAGTAAGCAATTTCCAGCCGAGGATCTTTTTGATCCAGGAAATACTGTTTTATTTTTGCAATATTCTCTATTTTTGTTTCATCATCTCCGCTAGTCGCTATTTCGTCAAACCACGTTGGTATTAAATTTTTCAAACTCGACATTGTAACCTTATCTTCAGTATAATAACTATAATTAATAATTAATAATACTTTTTATTATTGTAAATATTTCTTAGCTTCATGTAATTGTAATTTAAGGTTATATATTTAATAGCGGCTCGTCAAATTGATAATTGATGACTAAGTATAGTGTTAGTTTTATATAGTATCTGCAAAACTGCAGAAAACTGCAAAATTTTTTTCAAATAAAATTTTTTTTTTGAAAGAACAATTTCTATTAATTTATTTGTGTATTTTTAGTATAATTATTTTTTATATTTAAATTTTAATTTTTTAATTCAATAAAATAGTAGTAAAAAGAAGTATCTCGTTCAACAGTTATACAGGTGAAGCCATCTATCGAGTGATTTTGTAAGCTGAGTTACATTTACTATCTCAAGTCTCAAGTAATATATTAAAATTCCCCTTCATACCGTCATTACATATATTACATTTATACAATGTGTAAGGTCAAAATGTAAAACAGATATAGCTGTGTCGTTGATATTAAATAGATTTTGTTAATAAAAATTAAAGTTATCTAAATAATGAAAGAAGACTATGATAATTTTCGTGAATGAGGACGAATTAATTACTGGTGAGTTGTCAAATTATTTTTATTTATTTGATTTATTACAAACATTGATATCTTACTGAATATATATATTAAAATTTTTGAATTGACTTGAAAATTAAGAGTAATTTTATGCATTTAAATAACTTTTTTATTATTAAAATTTATAAATTACATCTATTGTAATTGTTTTGATGATAATCTTAGTGGTGATGATTATTTTAAATTTGATTATTGCTTAGGTTTTCTTCATTTATTTTATTATCTTTTTTATCTTCACTCCAATTTGCATATTTGAAATGGGGCGAAAATCTTGGTTGCTCTTAACTTGAGTTCCATTCGACTGAAAAACAACATCTTCATTTTTACTGGGTGATTTATTATTTTGATTTGTAATTGACTGAGCTGACTCTTCTTCTTGATTGTTATTTCCACATTTTGGGAACTCGGAAATAACACATTGTCTAATTATCTCATCAAAGTAAAAACCAGCTGAACAATTTTTAGCAACTGGGAACCCATCTACACATATACAGTATTTTCTGCAGTCCATATGTACCAAAGCAAATACTTTGTTTGAGTCAGATGAAGGACAGCTTCCAATACATCCGTTATCAATATTATTCTGATTATTTATTGACGAACTCGTGTCGTCGTAATTTTCATTTGTTTTTTCTGTAGAATTTTCATCATCATTATTATCATTGTTTAATTCAATATCTAAGTTATTTTTTTCATTAGAATTCATTTCAGTAGCTTGATTGTGTTTTTCAATATAATTTAATTCATCTTTATTATTATTATTATTTTCTTCTGTAGAATTAGTTTTATTATTTACAGTGTTGGTATTTTCATTAAAAATTGAATCAGTAAAGTCATCAATGTCTGATTTTGAAGAATTTGATTTTATATCTTCATTATTATAAGCTTCGTCATTAGAATTTGGTTCAGTAGTTCCAAAATTTGATTCACTATTTACATTATTACTTTCTTCATTAGAAGTTGATTTAGTGACTTCAGAGTTTTTTTCTAAAGAGTTTGATTCATTATTTTTTAGATTATAATTAACATCATTACCAACACAATGTGCATTGATGACAGAGTCACATGTTTTGGTTTGATTATTAAAATGCAAAGATTCAGGACATTTTATGATAACAGATTTGCCCCAGTTGCATTGGCAAAAATAATTACAATTGCTATGTGGAATTATAACGGTATAATTAGGCGAGTTAGTTTCTGGACATTTTCCTAAGCATCCTTCCATTTTTAGCTCTTGAATTTCTTCAGTCTCATTAGATCCATTGACCTCAACGTTACATTTAGCGTCTTCAGGACTCATACAAGATTGATTTTCTACACTGAAATGAAGATTTGGCGCACATTCGTACAACTCCAACCGTCCATTAGGTTTACATTTGCAAAATTTCAAGCAATTCTGGTGTGCTATAAGTTTTCCATCGCTTGATCCATCGTGGCTCAGCGTACAATTGCCCAAACAACCGTCAAATTTGTTTGCACATTGAGCTTTCTCCGGCTCAACGCACTCATTTAATGATTCCGAGTAATGTTTATTGTCAGGACATTGTTTTACCATCTGGTATCCGGGTAAACACAAACAATACAGATTACAATCATCGTGAGATAAATTTGTAAAAAAAGATAATTTTTCTAATAACGACGGACATTTTCCGATACAGTTTCCCGTTGTATGAATTTCAGGCCAGAAAATTTTCGTTCTCATTTTTAAATGATTTTCAGATTTAAAATTGTCTTCATCCTGGGCCGTCACTCCCAGTAGAAAAATTGACAATATCACTGTAATTTAAAAAACTTCAGGTATCAAGAATGCAATAAAAATCAAAAGAATAAAAATATTAACTTACCGAAAAGTTTCATAATTTTTTATTAAATATTGTTGTTTAAAAAAGTTAATAAAGCTTATTGATAAACTTTTTCTTCAGCAATTACCTTTTATACAATTTTAAACTACAATAAAATATTATCGTCACAATTAAATGTTTAATTGGGTCTTGATTACCTTAAGTAAATTTATTTATAAAAAATAATTAAAATTAATCTGTTAAATTTTTCGATTTATTTGTTAGCTTATATAATAATTTATTGCTAACTTTGACGGCTATTAATTTTTTTGATGAGTTTGTTTATACTACTTTTAAAATAATAACATCATTATTTTATGAAATAAATAAAATTTGCTCGTTACAATTCTTTATTAATGACAAAAAAGACACATGCGATAATATTTATCGTGTATTAACAAGTAATACCTATTTTAACTTAAACATTTTGTGATTTAAAAAATGGGAGTTATAATCATTGTATTATGTAATTTTGCATATTTATTGACTTTATTACTCTATACAGTAAACTGAGTGTATTTAAAATTTATTATGATTATGTTTGTTTTTACTCGTTAAAAAATAAGGCACTAGGACAATTAATTACTGGCCCGAATTTCTGTACGAGTTTAGTATTTTTATAGGCCTTTAATATAAAAATAGTGTTTTTTAGGCGCTACTGCCAGTACAATATTAGCATTGATGCTGACAGAGTCGTCACATGTTTTAGTTTCAACATTGAAATGCAATGATGGAGGACATTCAAAGACGATATGTTTACCCCAGTTGCATAAACAAAATTTGTTACATTTTTCGGGCGCAGTTAAAATCGTCTGATAGATCGAGTTAGTATCTGGACATTGTTCTAAGCATTTTTTAGTATCATCAACTGGTCCCGTAGATCTGTTTGGACATTCGGCGTCAGTTGTTATTACTTCACAGTCGTTTGATGAGTTTGAAAATCGCATTCCTTCAGGACACTTTCTTATTACCATGTAATTGACCAAACACATGCAAAACTAATCACAATACGTGTGGCGGAAGTAAATCGGTGACCAGGTATTAGTGTTTGTAATAGGGCATCTTCCAATACATGAATGTTTTATCAAATTTACCGGCCTCAGTATCATCGAATCATCAGTCTTGTTCTCTATTTCTTCACCAATTACTCCCATTACGGCGATTGATAAAATAACTATTTATAAATTAAATAATAATAATAATAATAATAATAAATAAATAAGTCAATAAAAATTTTAAAAGTAAATATTAAAACTCACTAATGAATTTCATCATGTTGAGAATTAGATATTATTTGATAATTCAAGTTAAATTTTGTGATGATTACTTGCATTTACCGCTGGCTTTTATATGACTGCTAGTTGAATAAAAATATTAATAGTCGCTATATAAAATATTTAATTTGGAGCTAGATTCAAAAGTTATAAATTTTTTAATGAGTTTATTTACCCAGGTGTTTGTTGAAAATGAAACGGAAAAAACAAGGTGATAATCCAGCTTAAAATATAATTTATTTCATAATAACAATTAATAATAAATTAAACGTGCTTAACAAATAAACAATTATTTAAATAAATTTTCGATATGACCGATTCCAGTGCAATTAGCTGTGAAGATATAGTCACAAGTTTTGCTTTCGTTGTTAAAATGTAAATTTTCTGGACAATCCATAACGACAGGTTGCCCCCAATCGCATTTGCAGAATTTCTTACATTCTTTATGTTCTAAATGAACTACATAATCATCAGGCGAATTGGTTGGTGGACACTTTCCTATGCATCCGTTATTATCAACTGGCGGTGATGGAGTCACTGGTACAGATGTTGATGGAGGTCTTGTTGGCGCAGGGGTAGTTACTGAAGGCTCAGACACATCTCTGCAACCAGCTAGTGATGGATGAACACAATCTTGAAATTCGAATGAAAAATGTAAACCATGTTCACAGGAATATTCAATTGGATCTCCAAACAATGTACACTCGCAGTATTTATCGCAATCTTCATGTGCCAATAGGTCACTAAATATGTCACAATATCCTATACATCTTGATGCGTATGTTGCATCAAGGAGTCCAATCATCAACAGTACTGCAGTCAATAAAAATTTATCATTAATTTAATCTAAATAAAATTTCATTTTTGATTTCAAAACAAAGAAAATAAGTCGAGTATGTTCAAACAACTTACCTAAAAACTTCATAATTATTCCATAGAAAAACTTCACTTGTCACTTGTATCAACTACTATACGCCAAAAAGTTGCACTAAATAAATACTTACATCCATTCTTTATATATTGACGCTAATCAATAATCAAATATATCTTGATAGTAACTATCGCTTAATTAATAAGTTGATTACAAGAATTTTTATGATTCCTGGCAATTTATCTATTTGTTACGTATAATCAACCCGAATTCATTGCTTGTGGGCAATTAAAAACGATGACTTTATCAAGTACAAGAAATTTATTATCAAAATTTTACATCACTGATAAATAGAGTTGATATTCAAAGTTATTCTAATTTTTTTTTTTTTTTTTTTTTTTAAATTAATTTAGTTTCTGAAGAAGAATCAAAAGTCTTTAAAGAGATGGTTTGAATTTTGCAATTAGCTTCAGCAGGTGTTACACACATATTTAACTCAGTTGAAAAATGTTGGTCACTTTTGCATTGCAGCTCCAATGGCTTGTCATCAATACAAATGCAATATTTTGAACAGTTATTATGAGGTAAATAAATCAAATCATCAGAATTTGAAGGACATGAACCGATACATGAATCTGGTAGACAATTAGCTTCAGCAGGTATTACACACTTTTTTAATTCTGTTGAAAAATGTTGATCATCTTTGCATTGCTGCTCCACTGGCTTATCATCAACACAAATGCAATATTTTGAACAGTTATCGTGAGACAAATATACCAAATCATCAGAATTTAAAGGACATGAACCAATACATGATTCTTTAGATGCTGGAGTGGTTGTCGTAATATTTACATCTGATAGACAATTAGCTTCAGCAGGTGTTACACACTTGTTTAACTCTTTTGAAAAATGTTGATCATCTTTGCATTGCTGCTCAATTGGCTGATCATCAATACAAATGCAATACTTTGAGCAGTTATCATGAGGCAAATAAAACAAATCATCAGAATTTGAAGGACATGAACCAATACACGATTCTTTGAATTTTGGAGTAGTTGTAGTAATATTTCCATCCGAAATGCAATTAGTTTCATTGAGCGGATAGCAAATTCCATGATCAATGTTAAACTTAAAATCATACGGACAATCTCTGATCAGAGCAGTACCATTTTGGCACTTGCAAAACTTTTTGCAGTCCGAATGAGGCAAAACATGAGCGACTTGAGGCCAATCTTTCTCGGGACACGTTCCTACACATCCTTTTCGTTCCTCACATTTAGCAATATTCGGCAATACACAATGTTTCGACTCTGTTGAATAGTGCTTATTTTTTGGGCACTTTTTTACTCTCAAGTGTCCCAAAATGCATTTGCAAAACTTATTACATTCCTCATGAGGTAATTTTGTGTAAAGATTTCTAAATGAACACTCTCCAATGCATTTCGGTGTTTCAGAATTTTGATTTTGGAACAAATGAAACTTTCTTGATTCTTCAATTTCGACTGACGATATGCGAGGCAACACCACTATTGCTAAAACTATAATTAAATTTATTTGGTGTTGACTTGTTAATGAATTAAAAATTTTTTCCTGAATACTTACCAAGTAAAAACATTTTTTTTTTTTTTTTATATCTTATAGGTTTTTTACACAAACTGATTCGCACATACGAATTTCTAGTCTTTTATATTGTTCCAATCACTTTTGCCTAATTTGACAAGTGTTACTTTTGTGTACTTTAATAGATTAATGAGTCAGGTGAATAAAAGTTATGAAAACGTGATACGAAATCTTGTGTAAATATAGACAGACACAGAATAACTTGAGAAAGGTTTTAAAAAATAGTCATTTCTTAATGTTTACCTTTTATTGCGATGATAAATTCGATAATATCTTAAACCAGCTTTATAATAATTTGAATTTTGTTCTTATGATTAAAAAATCAATTGAGAATAAAAAATAAATCCAATTCATTGTCCATGAAAAATTTTTTTTAGAAAATGGAGAATCTTTTTTTGAGACGATGAAGAAGTGCAGTTAGCCAATTCTGGTTTCAAACAAGTAGCGTAATCGATATTGAAATGAAGACCATCAGCACAATTTCCAACCAACGGTATGCCTTCTTGAGTACAGTAACAGTATAAATCACATTTTTCATGAGCTAATAAAGCAATTTGATTTAAATCTGCACTTGCAGGTGGACATTCTCCTAAACAACCACTGTTTTGTATGCTCGGTGAGGATCCTTGACAATGAGCGTCTTGGGGATCTACACAGACGTATTGTTGCGGCAAAAAATGGAGTCCTTGAGGACAAAATACTTCAATAGGCGATCCTTGGCTGCACATACAAAATTTGCTGCAAACTTTGTGAGGTAAGTACGGAATATTACTACTTGAACAGCTTCCGATGCAATCTGATGAATCTGCTGATACTTTTGTAATAACTATTGCAGCAATTGCCAAAATTGCTGTAAATTTTTTAGATAATTATTGTAATTATTAATCTATGGCTAATTTTAAAAATGATTAATAGTCTACTTACTTATAAATTGACGCATTTTGTAGATCAATAAGTTATTTATAATTTTTAAGAATGAATGAAGATTAAGATTTTGCAGACCTTTTATAACGAAAACTAATCGCTTAAATTAGTTTTAATAAAATCATTAAAATAGACTCTAAATTGGATTTATCATGGACTATAAAAAATAACGATATCATCTATATAATTTATCTAATCAAAATAGCAACTACTAGATTCTTCAATTTCAAGATTGACTTATTCCTATTATATGGTTAGAAACTAAACTTTAGATCTTGATCAAAAGCAAAAAGAGATTAAATCAGACTTTAATCATTTTACACAAAATAGATTGCTTGGAGAAATTGATAAATTATTTCAAGTATATGTTAGATATATTTATTGATAATATTACGGTGATTAGGTGAAATATATATTTTATTGAAACGACTAAGAAAACTTAGAATAAAAAGACTTTATCATTTAATTTAAAATATATTTTAGTAGAATTAAATGCATGTAGACCATAAATTTTATTGGATTAAAATTAGCAATTGGTTTAAAAAATAAAAATATCATATACTCAGTCAGATTTATCATTAATAGATTAAAAAAAATTTTATTACGATTTTTAAAAGTACAATAATTATTAGGAATGATAAAAAGAACAAGTCAATTTTTTAAAAACAGTTTTTATTTTAATAAACTTTTTTACAGCAATAATACAATAGACAAAATAATTAACAAAAGAGCGGTCAGTAAAAACTCAATTGAAAATTTTTCATTCTATAATCAGGATTTACACACTTTGCGAGTTTTGCATCGACGCATTTCTTCTCTGGCCAACTGAATAGCATATCAGGTGGACAGGTATGAATAATTATATCATAATCTAAAATACATAAGCAATATCTGTTACAATTTTCATGGGGAATCAGGTAAATGACGTCTGGCTGCATATTTGCCGGGCATGCGCCGATACATTTGGCCTTTCTGACATCGTGCTTTTTCAAGTCAGTTTCCTTCATGCAGTTGTTTAATTCTGGTACAAATTTAGCTCCAGATTGACACTCGATTATTATTTGATTGGCAAAGTAACACAGACAAAATTTGTCAGCGTCTTTATGAACTAAATAATTTATTGAGGTGCCACATTCTCCAAGGCATGAAGATTTTGAAGGGATGATTCTCTTATTCTTGCTATCATTTGAAATATAATTATTATTACGATTGTGAATATTATTATTATTATTATTATTATTATTATTATTAATTTTTTTATTGCTTCTGACAAAAGATGTTTCTCCTTGACAATCAGCTTCTGCGGGATTCATACAGACATAATTTTCCGGGGAAAAATGAAGGTTTGCTGGACATGACATTTCAATAGGCTGTCCATGATCACACACACAAAATTTTGTGCATAACTTGTGTGGAATATATGGTACTTCAACGTCGGAACAATTTCCAATGCAATCTGATGAATCTGCTAAGACTTTTGTCATTGCAATTGTAGATATCACCAAAATTACTGAAAATTATTATCAATATTAAAAAATCAATCATAAATATTTTTCCAAGAAATTCATAATGATTTAATGATAAATAGCAATTAAATAAGTAAAATAATTGATTAAACTTCTTTAAATATTGCATTTATATTAATTTTTATCAAGCTGTGTATTTATTTAATCACTAGATATTAAAACGTATAATTTTGATATTTTTACTTACTTGAATTACGCATGATACAATTTAGATGCTATACTTGACACGGTTAAAATAATACTAACAATATCTTAAATTTCTTATCTTGCGTTTATATAGACAACTAATCGCCAAAATACTGATAAAATTGTTCGGTACCTTAAATAAATTAGTGGTGAATTCGAATCTTGAAAAAAACAAAGATATGCCATCAAGTTATTTAACTTATCTAATCAGATATTTATTTTTGTTTGTATAGACTTTGAAAGTTTATTGATAGAGAATAATTATCAAATATTGTAATATAAAAATTTAACATCAGGTTTCAATCACTATTTTTTAACAATAATTATAATTTTAATTAAATTAACTTAAATACTTATCATTATTTATTATATTTCGCTTAAAAAAAAAAATTCAAAGTTAAAAAATAGCGCGCTTTTAATTTGCGCATGCGCAACTATTTAAATTTGGCGCTTGCGCAGAATAACAATTGATTCTGAAGACTTGTCGATCAGCCTTGAGGATTGTGTACAGTACATAAGATACATCACTGTGTATTATTTCCGGCATCCGGCAGACGCCCCGATGATTGTCAGTGTGTGTTGGTAATGGTAAATGTCATAAATGTCTAGTACTTGTGTCTAGTGTCACAGACTCATTATTGTCACTTTTAATTAAATTTAAAACCCAGTCTTCTAGCTCATACCGTATATTTTGTACCTTCTATTGTGTTGTTACAACAATTGTTTAGTCGACGAAATTTGTTCTCTCATTAACCTGTAAGTATTTTCATTTATTTTATCAAATCAATTCTCACTAGCCGCTGCTGGCTTTCCAGTTGTCATTTTTTTACTCTTATCACTTGGGAAAATTCTAACAGATAAATTTTATTTGCGATTAATTATCATGTTAATAAAATGAATAAATTAATTCATTTTTTCATTTTAAACATTTTAAGGTATTAAATAAATCATATAAATATAAATATAAATTATCCGATCTATGGTTATGTTGAATGTCTCCTGCTGAGTTGGTATGAGTCATATTTCACACATGACTCCTGACATTTAATGTCATTGTTTAATTTTTTTTATTTTTAATACAATTATTAGTTCTCACCGTTTTTGTTTCATCAATTAATTTTTTTTTTTTTTTTTCTATTTTCAATTAAATAATTAAAGAAGAATTCAAGAGTAATCAAGGTGTTGGGTGTTAAATATTATCTAATAGACAGATGGTCTAGACAAAAAAAAATTTGTCAATTTTATCAAATAAAATTAAATTAAAAACTGAGGGAATTACTCATAACATGTTTTATGCCCGAGGCAATTGTTTTACTTTGGTTTCTACAAGTATTAGGTCAGTTCTTTATTTATAGTTAAGAATTGATTCTAAACAACTTTTACAACTTTATTTTTTTTTTTTCTTTCTACTACAGCTCGGTGAAGTCTATTTACATTTTAAATCATCATTGTTTGTTGTTAAGTATAGCGCAGTTTGAGATTACTCTTAAACGGATATACTTTCTAATATATTTAACTAGTTTGTTTTTAATCATCAGTAATCGTGAGTTACTTTTTTTTTTTTTAATTCGTTATTAATATGTTACGGTATTATTAATTTAATGATTTTAATTAGTGAAATTTTCTTTGTAATTACTTTTATAATTAATTTTCATCCTCCAAGAAATTACAATTTTTTTTTTTTTTATTTTCTAATTAATTTAAAAAGTCTATAAAAGTAATTTAAATATTTACAATTTTATATTTTAATTTTTTTATTGAAAATTTTGTCTACGTTTAAAAATAACTTTAATGATATTTAAATTTATGCAGCTGTCACTTGTCTCTGTTAGTTTCAACCCCTTCGAATGTTAGAAAAAATTTGTCATAAAACTATTAAAATAATTTCGTCAACAGCATGAAATAATAATATTAGAAAATATTAAAACTATTTTTATATTTATCATTACTGATGAAAAAAAATAATTATAAACAATAATCTCTGATAAAGAATTTATCAAACCGGAAGCAAGTGTTAAATGAATTCGGGTCTCGTCCACGGAGTATCTGATGGCAGCACTATCCGCAGATGCTGCTCCAAATCGAAACTCCAGAGCATCAAAGTAGTATCCTGCGACTAGGTATTCCGGATGACCCGGCCTAGAGGTTTTTCCACCCCCCGTGGCTTTCCTCAGTGCCAAAAGGAGCATTTACCCCCGGGATCCCATCAAAATTCCATCTCCGTCCCTCCGCGTTGACATTCATCTCGTTATTAATCTTGTTCGGGCTGCTCACGCCAGCGATTCGTCGCCTTTCGGGGCTTTTCCGCGATAAACTCGGAAAAATAGTCAGCTATTTTTCCGATTCCGACATGGAGCTCAGTGCTCCACCCATTCCTCTGAAAAGTCTCACCCGAAATGTGCCAACGACGTTTTCCTTGACTTTTCCCTTCGTCAATCCGAAATATTAACACGTAGTTATTATTTTTGTCGTGCTTTTATCGATTAGTGGCCGATCCAAGTGTCTGAAATTTCCTGTGATTCGTTTTTTAACGAGGGTGCGACGTATCTCAACATCCGTCAAGAACACAATTAAGACTGATTCTACAAAGTTACCAAAAGTTCAAATTACTTTCAAGTTTATTTAAAAATATTTATCATAGCACTATTTATTGAAGATAAATAATCAAAATTATTATTATTATTATTATTATAATTGTTCTTATTAAAATTATAATTGCATAGTTTATTTATAGATGTTTAAATAAATTTAAAATTTAAAAATGTTTTCCTGCTGTGCATGCAAGAAAAAAAGCAGAAGCAGCAACGGTGAAAGCAGCGAAGAAAGTGGTGATGGTTCTGAAGAAGTCGATTCAATAAAAATAGAATTGCCGATAGATAAAAAAAACTCTAATTTAAATGAAGAAAGCTCAAATATCGTCAACGAAAATCTAGAGCAATTAAATAGTAATGGCAACGGCAATCATGTTAACCATCAACTGGAACCGGAACTGGAACTGGAACTGGAGCCAGAGGAAGAAGAAGAAGAAGAAGAAGAAGAAGAAGAAGAAGAAGAAGAAGAAGAGGAAGAAGTTTTAGACGTGATTTATGAAGTTATTAAGCCTAAGGTGAAACCTAAAGTTGATGATAAACTAGAAACTGATACGGAAAGTTCACCAACTAATAAACTTACTACAGCAGATGCTCAACCGACTGATAATTCCAGTCCAGAATTGGAAACTGGCGATATTGATGTTAATTCCGAAGAGTTTATCAACGAAGTTAAGGAAATTTCCCGTGAAATAATTCGCGATGTCGAGAAACGCTCTTTAATTATTGTAAATGAAGCTCACCGTGTTTTGATAAACACTAAGGATGTTGACTCTAGTCTTCTTGAAGATGCCAAAGTTGAAGAGGTTAATGGTAATGAAGATAGAGACAAAGATAGAGAAGAAACGGGGGTAGATAATGAAATAAATTTATTAGAGAAAAATATAGTAGTTGTTGATGATAATTTACAAGATAAAGTTATTAAAGATAATTTAGAAAAAACAATTTTAGAGGATAATGTAGAAGTAAGTAGTGAAATTGAAGAAAATCAATCAGATGTTAGCAATCATGATGATAATTCAATTACTACTGTTAAAGAAATCCAAGTTAATTTAACTGATATTATTAATGAAGATAATATATTAGAAGTTAAGAGTATTAGTGATGGAAATAAGGCTAAAATAAATATTAAGGAACCTAACGGAACAACGAATGCTGAAGAAAGTTCTGTAAGTACCGACCAAGTTAAATTTCAAGTAGATAAACTAAATATACATACTCCAGAAATAATAGATCATGTTAGAAAAATTTCGACAGAGTTAATAAACCAAGTTGAAGTTAAGGTGATTGATGAGGTCAAGAAAATATCTTCGGAGATTATTGATCAAGTTGAAGACAACATTACTGATATGATCACGGTTGTTGAAGAAAATTTGTTGGTAGTAAATAGAGAGATTGAGGAAAATTTGTCGAAAATTAGGAAGCATTCTAAAGATCGATCTGACGTCGAGTTGTCTTTGGGTTGTGAGGAAGAAAATTTGAATTTTACGTTAGTTAAGTGTGAAGAAGATAAAGAAGACAAGTCTGTCCTCGTTGATAATAATAATAAAGAAGAAGAAATAGATGTTGATTTAGATGAAAGTAAAGAAGAAACAGGTGGTAGTTGTTCAATTAAAAATGAAGAAATAATTAGTATTTCTTCAATAGAAGGTGAAGAGAATTTAAATTTTACTTTGATAAAATGTGAAGAAGATAATTCCAAGCTGGCTTCAAGTAAAAGTGAGCAAGATAATTTGATAGTTGAGAGTAATGAAATAGAAACTGAAGATAAATCGAAGAATGATAAACAAGATGAAGAAGCAAAAGGAGTTGAAGGTGGAGGAGGAGACGGAAATGAAGAAGATAATGAAGAAAGTGATTCAACAAGTACTACTATTTCTATCAAAACAATAGATGATATTAAAACATGTAAATTGACACTAGATAATATAGTAATGGGACCACCGACTGTTTGTTTATACCAAGCCCCAGGTTACATCGAACGAACAATTGCCGATGGACCTGACGACGAGGGCGATGACTCTGTTTTCGAGAACTCAATAACTACGGAACCAGGTATTTTAATCCTGATTTTTAAAATATTGATTGAGTAGATTTTTTTATTTTGCTTGTATTATATTATATTATTTAATTAATTTATTGAAATTAATATTAATCTAACTGCGTGGAAAATATTTAAGGAAGGAGTGAATTTGACAATTGTGTTGAAAACATTATTGTACAGTTAGTCCGGCTTTGACTAAACCACCATCAGTAGCAGTAGTGCCAGTAGATAAGCCAATAACGCGTTGGCTCTCTGAAGACGACGACACAGATAATCTGGAAGTATGTGGTGGTATGCAAGAACCACCAGCTACGCCAGTTGCCAAGGATGAGCTTGCTTTGAGACGGCACAAGTTTTTCTCTGATTTAATGCACGCTTCCAACAATGACAACGAGCACAAAGTCAGATTCGATCCGTTGGGACCGATGATTCATCCTGGTTAGGATATACAAATATATAATATATAATTATATTTATTCATTTTATTGTATACTTTTTAGTACTTAAAGATTAAGATAATATTAATTATTAGTAATATTTCATGTTTTTTTTTTTTTAACTGTGTGCTTATATGTTTGTTATTATTAGTTTATTGTTTTGATAAACAGACCCATTTCTAATTTATTTTTTATTGTTGGTAAAAAATCTTTCAAGAAGTAGAATAATTTACAGTGGTCTGGTTATTAAAACAAATAATAATTCAACTGTTAAATAGAATATTAATATTTCTATAAATGTAAGTGTATTACGTTATTAAAACGCCTACATTATATTTAACGCTGGTGAATTCATCAACAATATTCACGGCTTTCTAATTATAAATCCGCATTTATATAGTTATTTTCATCGTGTTTTATACTCGTGACAGTAGTGTGTTGTCTCTCAGTTAACTCTGATTTTCTGGAACCACCGGATTATTATATTATATTATTAATAGGATTATATTTTTTATCTTCTGTGAAAAATTACATAGTTACAGTTTGTTTTATCTATCTACTTTAATTAAAAATTTATAATCTCTATCTTTTACTTTTTGAAACTATAATTAATTAATTGTCAACTAGTGAATAATAAAAATTAATAAAGTAACCCCAAAACTCATCGAATCAATAAAATAGAAAACTATTTTTAAACATAAAACGATGACACATTTTTATTATATTCCAACGTAGATCTTTTAGTCATCATATTTATGTAATAACATCTCTGAGTTGTAATAATTTCGTAAAATTACTTGCGACAAAGAAGCTATTTTAAGAAATAATAAAATATATATATGTATATATTTTCATTAAAAATAAAATCTGTTATTTAATGTTAATTAACTTTAAATATTTTTTCAGGGGGTTACGAGAACGAGCGAGACGAGCATCTAGAACAGTTGGTAACCCGTTTAGAGAACGTAACCAAAAGACTCGAGAGCGTGCCATCGAAATTTTTTACCGAGACCCAGGAAGTCGCTATCCAGACTTATTTTTCATTGCCAAAGCAAGTCGAGAGCGTCGACGTATCGACAGGTCACGAGTTTGAGGAGGAAGATCAAGAATTTCCTGATCCACCTGATTTTGGAGAGGTAGAAGTTGAAGTTGATCAGAACTCAGAAGTTGATTACACAGTTAGTATGTCTGTTGGTGGGTACGAAGATCTTGTCGCCGGTCCGTTCGCTGAATATTTGGCTCTCAGTCAAAAGATCGGCGGTGATGTTGCTGCTCACAGCAAACTCGTCAGCGAAGCTTTTCGGTAATTATTTTTATTTTAATCAATAATTTATATATCTAATTATAACTTTCTAATTTCAGAATTCAAAAAGAATTCATAAAAACAGCGGCAAGCCGTCCCGCACCATCAAACCAGTCTGAACAAGTGTCACTTCTAGGCCCTACATCATCACAAATTCAATTGATCCAGCAATTTCGCGAGAATAATCGAGGCTCGCAGTACTTTAATCATTTGTCAGCAATCAGCGAGAGTATTCCAGCTCTGGGATGGGTCGCTGTTACACCTACACCTGCTCCCTACGTCAAAGAAATGAATGATGCCGGTCAATTTTATACCAACCGTGTTTTAAAGGACTGGAAAGAAAAGTAAATATTATTTTTATCATTATTGGTCACATACCTTTTGATATTTTTAATTTAAAAATGTCAAAGTTCAAAGATCTTCAGGTAACTAGAAAAAAAAAAAAAAAAAAAAAAATGAATAATCAATTATTTAAAATTAATTAAACAGAGATAAGAATCACGTTGAGTGGTGCAAAGCATGGGTACAAACACTCTCTGAATTACAAAAGTACATACGTCAGCATCACACAACTGGTTTAGTCTGGTCTAAAGCAGGTAGTGTATCATCATCAGCATCAGCAGCAGCAGCAGCAGCACCACCACCACCACCACCTGGTGGTATGCCACCACCGCCACCTTGTATGCCTGTCGGTGATATTTCAGCCTCTGCTGGTGGTGATGATAGAAGTGCACTTTTCGCACAAATTAATCAAGGAGAAGATATTACAAAGTGTAATTATTGCTTATTAATTATTCATTCTTTTATTCTAAAGTACTGTTATCTCTCAAGACTCTTAGTATAGATGGCAGTTTTTGTTACATAGATTAGCAATTATTTAAATATTTTACTTTTTTATCAAATAGCATTGAAAAAAGTAACATCCGATATGCAGACGCATAAAAATTCATCTCTAAGAACTGGTCCCGCACCATTCAAAGCACCAGTTTATAATAATTCGAGCTCACCGATGAAGAGTGTGCCACCAGCAAACGCGCCTATTGACAAACCATCAGTATTCAGTCGCGACGGTAAAAAATGGCTGGTTGTAAGTATTTTATTTTTACATATACTTATCTATTGATTTTAATACTTTAAAACTAATTTTTTAAATTCTTCAAGGAATACCACAAAGGAAATAAAGATCTGGTGATAGAAAACCCCGAGATGAACAACGTCGTCTACATGTACCGCTGCCAAGACAGTACTCTCATAATAAAGGGAAAATTAAACTCAATTGTCATGGACTCTTGTCGCAAATCATCGATCGTTTTCGACTCCCTCGTCTCCAGCATCGAGTTCGTAAACTGTCAGAGCGTCCAGATGCAGGTGAGTTTTTAAAAAAAAGAAAATTATTTTTATAAGTTAAAATTACTAAAAAAGTATATTTTAAAATTTTTAAATGCAGTACAAATGAAAATGATTTAGAAAACCCAGTAAATAATTAAAACTGTCATTTAGTAATGTTTTTTTTTACGTTTAAAAATATTTTCGATACTTGAATTCGACCGGTGATAAATATGCTTGTGGTCATTATTCGGGAATTTGAGCTTTGAAACCGCTGACAAGTCTGATATTGACGTGCTTGTGTGTGTAGTTGAAGGTTTTGCGAGAACTTCTTTTTCATTAATTTTATTATTAATACTATTGCTATTATTATTATTATTATTATTATTAACATTAATATTACTATTATTATTATTATTATTATTATTAATAATATTATTAACTGCTGATGACACGACCGTTATAATTTTGGAGTCTTTATTAACATTAATCTCTTCATTTGAATGAGTATTATTATTTTTATCAATCACCTCTTGCACGCTCAATTCCCGGTCTTTAATATACTCCAAAAATGTCTTTGGGTCAATGACTTTAGTCACGCAATTATCGTTATCCGCGACAACATTAACATAAATAATAGTCTGATCTTTCATAATAAATTCATTATTTTTATTGTTGGTGCTTTGGCAGTTCCTTTTGATAACTGACTCGCGAAAAGTTCCCTCGGTAATCACCGGGATATTCTGGTTTGAGTTTTCCAGGCTGACGGAAACAGTGAGAGGTCCACGAGCGGGACTTTTGGGTCGATACTCGTCTTTCCTCTCTAGACGGTTCTTCAAAACCGGAATACACGATTTAGATAATTTATTCATAGACTCACGTGATCGCGAGTTGTACGCGAGCTTACTAGTCCCACTAATCCGCGGACTGGCTTCCATTTTTCTAGGGGTCACGTACGATTTACTGCGTCTCTGCAAATTAATAATTCTCCTTTCGTCCTTCTCTCGGTCGTTATCGCTCGTCAAATTCGAGTTACTTCTAGTTACTCCTTTTTTTGAGTAACCAGTATTTTTATTTTTATTTTTATTTTTATTTTTACTTTTATCAAATACTTTAGTATCTCTTTCAGCAACTTTTAATTGCTGGGAATTAAAAGCAGATTTTTTATCGCTGAAATTACTGGCATTTGATTTACTGTCTGATAAATTTAATTCGGTGTCCAAGAGACTCTGGCGACAAGTTTCGCCAGATAACAAACCAGTTGATTCATCACTTCTAACTCTCTCATCCTCGAGCTTAAAACTCTCCGATAAATTCATTTCCTCCCGACTTTTATCCTCCGACAAATCCGAAATAGAATCCACCGTTAAATAAATACTGCTCTCTTTCGATAAAACATTCAGCGACTTTATTTCGCTGAGCTTCGATTCCTCGTCCATATAGTCCAAATTAATCATCGATGTTTCAGATATTGTTTTAGTTATCCCAACAGCCCACGAGTTTTCAACCTGCGCCAGCGCCTCGAATCTCATCTGTTCTAGTTCTATCAAATTTTTGTTTCCACTTCTCGATGTTTCATTAATTACCGTCCGTGCTGTCAAAGGCTCATCGCTTAAATTCAAGTCCTCCAATTTGTCTTCATCCATTAAATTTAATTTCATAAAACTGTCAATTTTATCATTATCCACTTTAACTTCAACATTAACTTCCACTTCATCGTTTAAATTAATTAAATCTTCCTCACTGTTATTAATTTCAATTCCTGATAAATAATTTATTTTTTTATCATTATCTTTATTAATAATTTCTTTCACTTCTAAAAATTTTTTATTTCCACTTGCTTCCATTTTTTCCAGTAAATTTTTATTATCTTCAATACTTTTCAAAAATTCACCATCAATTTTAGTGTCTACCGAATCCAAACTCTCTTCAAAACCAAATTGATCAAAAGAACTACTCGACAACATTTTATTTTCATAATTATCGTCCTTATCCAAATCAATCAATGGGTTGAATTGCTGGATCATCTCCAAAGATTCATCTCTGCTGACATCTTTGCTGCTAACAAAGTCTAAAGAAATTTCCGACTCTTCGCTAATTTTCTTGAAACCTAGCATTGACTTGCTGATTTTTTCCGTACAGCTACTTCCCGACTGTTCTTCATTAATAATATCCAGTAACTTCGGCTTGACATAATTCAACTCACAATTATCCACCTCTAAATTATTTTCCAAGTAAAACTGATTGATTACAGCCTGTTTTAATTCTTTGTTCTCATCAAAGCCTAAATTTTCCTTTGAATTATAATTCAACTCAAATTTATTATTATCTCCATCAGAAATGTTTTTTTCTTTTTCATCCGACCCATTATCAATTGACTTGACTTTATCAAAATCAATTTTACTGGCATCGCTTTCAGTGTCAGTCCTCAAATCACTCAACTCCTTCAAAAACTCTCTAAACTCTTCTCTCTTATTACCGTCACTAGATTCGACAACCAACAAATCATCTTGACTATAACTTTTTAAAACAGTTTGTAATTTTTCCAACCTCTGCTGAACATCCGCAAGACTTTCCTTAGTAGTGATTTGCTTTTGGGAAGACTTTAAAATAGTCTCTGAATAAATTGAATTGTCAAAATTAAAATTTTTAGCGGAACTTTTTCCCGAAGAATTGATTGACGTGCTGGAATTATTGTTGCTTTTATCAACGAGTTGTAAATTAAACTCAGAATCATTTTTGTCTTGTACTGAGACAATCATTTTATCGCTTTTACGTCGGTGTAATTTTTCGCTGTCATTAATCTTGTGCCGGTAATTATATCTCTTGTCAGCGTTGGCGGACTTGGGCTTGCGGGCTCGTGAGTTGTTGTTGTTGTTGTTGTTATTGTAATTGTCTCGCGGACTTTTGAGGCATTTATTAAACCACCGGTTATCTGATAAAGTCAGCCGTATATTTTGTTTATGACCCTCGATACTCGTTCCTTTTATTTGCTCAGGCAATGGCCAGGTCCCGTACTGCATCTTGTAAGTCAGGATATTAACGCGTAATTCGAGATCTTGGAGCTTATATCCCACGTCATTTAATGTCTCTTTTGTGAGGACACTTTCGTTTAAAGACTTCAACCGGGACCAAATTGTATGGACAAGAATTGTTGATACCAGCAGTAAAATTATTATCTGTGTTATTAAAATTTTATTACTACTTATGTAAATTTAATTAATAATTTATTTATTTATTTATTTATTTATTTATTTACTAATAAAGTTAATACTTACTCGTAATAATACGGATTCATTAGTAACACAATCGACAACATCGGTTACTATTTCAGACCACATATAATTAAAAATTGCATATGGACATTCTTTCCAATTAAGCTCACAAACTAATCTTACCGGTCTGATGTTTCCTCCTGTTGATACATAATAAATAAATAAATAAATAAATACATGAATTACTTTTGTTAATTCGAAAAATAAATATTTACCGATTTGCCAACGCATTTTTCGTTGCCTCAAAATATCCGGTAGAAAATAAAATAGTAAATATAAATTTACTAAAAAAAAATAATTTATAAGTTACATCGTTGTTTGACAGATTAAAATGACAGTCAATTGTCATAATATTTTTTTAAATTTCCGATAAATTTTTTTTGGCTGAAGAAGAGTTTTTTATTTTTTTAATTTCACGATAAGTTTTATTTTATGTTTTGTGTGTTTATTATTTTGCATGGTCTGATTTTGAATGTATGGAATGTTTTAAATTTAATTTAATGTTAAAGTTTAATTACTCATTTTTTTTTTCTATTATTCTTTTTAGGTACTTGGCAAAGTTCCGACAATTTCAATTGACAAGACTGATGGTTGTCAAATGTATTTGAATCAAGAATCACTTGACGTTGAATTGATTACTAGCAAATCTAGTGAAATGAATGTTATGGTACCTAAAAGTAACGGTGATTACGTAAGTTCAGACAATTTTTTAGTATTATAATTTTATTTTATTAATATTAAAAATGAATAAAATTTTAATGGCTCATTTATGTATTTAAAAATATTATTTAAGAATTTAATTAGTTATTTAAATATAATTAATTATACACAATTTACAGACGGAATATCCAGTGCCAGAGCAATTTAAAACGACTATTAATCCCAAAGGATTGTCAACGATAGCCGTCGACTCACTGGGATAAATTTATAATCCTCTTAAAACTCGTCTCCTAATCATTAGATTCATAATTAAAAAAAAAAAAAAAAAAAAATAAAATAAAATAAAATTATACGAATATAATCATTAGGGAATAAATTTTTTTGGTTAAATTAACAGTAAACTTTAACCGTTAAATTGATATAAATTATCAATGAAAAAAAAAAAAAAAAAAAAAAAGAAACGTACTGAATTCAAAATTTACAAATTGAGATTTAAAAAGTCTATTAGGTCGGCTTGGATAAAAGTTGAACTTACTATCGCTTTTATACATTTACACCGTTTCTAAGACTTAAACTTTTATTCAAGCCTTTAAATTTATTCAGAAAGAAAAAAAAATTAGTCGGTCGCTAAAGTCGCTTTTAATTAATAATTTTATAAATTCACGTGAGTCCGTAATTGATCTAATCGAGTACTGAGATTCAAAAAATTCTTGCAATTAAACTTTGCTACTACTAATAAAGTAATAAAAGTAATAACTAATTTATTATAAAAACATGGGTTTTATCATAATAACCATAGAGTAATAATAAACCAGTTAAAATAATCAATTAATCAATTACAATAAACTGAGTGGAGTTTGTACCGATAACTCATTAATAATAAATAATTTATAAATCATTGGTTTTTAAATTTTATTCATTGAATCATTTGTTTATTGTTAAATTAAAAAATTTAATAATGTTCAGGTAATCGATTAATTATTATTTATAAATTAATTGTACTTTAAAATTTTATATTTATTTGCTATAATTAACAGTAATATATACAATGAAAAAAAACTTTCAATAAATTCAAATTTTAAACATATAATTATTTTTCCTGTTAATAATTTTTTCTTTTTAATTTTAAATATTATCACACTTTCGTTATAATTACATTGAATGTTTTTAATCAAAATGAATTACAAAAAAATTAATATACTAATCATTGTTAATTACTCAATGATCAATTGAACACGTATACTTTTAGTATTAATTAAAATTAAAATTACATTCATTATCATTATTATTAATATTATAAAACCAGTCTTATTAAAAAACGATAAATTAATAAATTTATTGCACAATTGAGCGAGTTATCACGTCAATCAGTAATTAGAACAATCAATAAATCGACATGGACATTTATACACTTAACACGCGGTGGCATGAGCAATTAGCGTTTGCATTAATTTTAAAATTAATTATCTTTATCTATTTTATTTAAATAAAATAAATGTTTATGTTTAATTAAAGGGAATTAATTTAACAAGTTGAGTAGATGTTGTTGTTGTTGTTGTTGTTGTTGTTGTTGTTGTTAAATCATGAACTAGAAGGACAGTCGCGTTCGTCGCTGCCGTCTGAGCACTCGAGGAACCCATTGCAGACGCGCGACCGCGGAAGGCACTCGCCCAAAGGACACCTGTGTCCTTTGCAGGCGGGTATCAACGGCCTCACGTCCTTCTGTTTCATTGACCTCTCGATCCACGGTAAATAATGAATCGTTTTTGTGTAAACACCGGGTCTCCCTGGTCTCGCACATCCGTAACCATTCGATGTAATACCGTGTAACGTGTACTTATCATTTGTTTTATCGCGACAAACAAGTGGACCACCACTGTCTCCCATGCAAGCGTCTCTTCCCCCGTCTTTTAATCCCGCGCAGAGCATTCCTGATGTTATACGATACAGCGGTAAGAATAATGTTTTTTTTCTGCATTCTTCTGTTGATATTAGAGGCAGCTCCACTTCTTGAAGTGTATCAGCTGAAAAATATATATAATATATAATATTCACCAAACAAATAAGAAGCAGGAGAAACTAATAAATAAAATAAATTTTGCACAAATAATAAGGACACGTAATATTCTCGGGTGGTGAGTTTGTGTTCTCCTTTTTTATTGCCTCAATTATTTAATTTTAATTGGTAATTAACCATTAAACTTACGGAATATGCGACCAATTTCAAATAATTGTCCCCATCCGGTTACTGTACATATGGTCCCACTTTTAGGTTCGCTGTCTGGCAAACAAACGGGACGTACGTAATCGCTAAAAATGACGGGTCTTTCGAGACGCAAAAGTGCGACGTCGTTTATAAACCCGCTGTCGATATATTCTGGATGCAAATTGATGAAATCAAGCGTCAGTATTTGCTCGTGCGGACTCGGAAAATTTCCTCGTCGAGTAGCTCCTATCCTCGCAACCCAGTACTCGTTCTTAGCGCTAAAAGCCCATCAATCATCCAATAAATAAATTGTAAGATAAAAATAATAAAAACTATCGAAATACTTACTTGTAAAAACAATGAGCGGCTGATAGAACCCATTTGTCACTAATTAAAGCGCCTCCACATTGATAATCACCTTCTTTGTAGAGTGCAACTTGCCAAGGCCAGCTTCCTGCTTCGGAACTGCCTCCTCCGACGATTCTGGAATTTCGAAAACTCCGTCTAATTTATTTATATATTACTTCCTATTTATTAGCATACCAACAACCGTGTATTTGCGCATTTCTTATCGCACTCGACATCGAAAACAATTATTTACCATTTATAAAAAATTACCTAGCCTGTGAAGTTGTTTGCGTTCTTATTCCGCACTCCAAACTCTTGCATTTCACCTTCAGGACTTCGCCGCTCGGGCAATCCGATGTTTTGAATGTCAGGCTTGTTTTATCCGGTAATTTATCATTGAAGAATAAGCTGTAGTAGATTTGGTTACGTCCTTTTCGCTTCTCTATTACTTTTTCAACTTTTTCGTAGTCTCTGAAAATAACGATTATCTTTGTTAACGAGATAAACTTTTAAGAGTACAAATCAAAACTTACTGATAAGTAATAGCCTTGCAAACAGCCCGTCCAAGGTCTTCGATAGTCCAAATAGTTCTTTTGTCATCCAACAAACCATCCGTGCTATTTAAACACAATTTTCCCCATTTTCCATTTTTCCTTACACTCAAGTATCCTCTGTCGCTGTAACTATTTATCTCCGTCCCCAAATTATTTTTAATGTAACTATAATCATTATTAAAAAAATCATCTGGTTTTTTGTTCACCGGAATACTAACTTTTGTACTGAATCCTTTTTGATCATTATCAATGACATTCTTAGTTTTAGCATCAACAGCTATTTCTCTACCAAAAACTTTCGTGTTTTCCCCCACCCTCGTTTGTCTTCCGTCAAAATTACCGTCAAACATTCCCGTGTTTAAAACACTCTTCTGAATCTCTTCCTTCAAAGTTTCTATTCTAAAAGTCGTAGCAACTGTTTCCACAGCTTTTTGATCTTCCAGTTGGAAAGTCGAGTTAATTTTTTCCTTTCTCTCTTCCCAATTTGAAATTTTCTTCAAAACACTTTTGTCCTCTCTAAAATCATCATCATCATCATCATCAATTAGAGCCGCGCATTTTTTCTCATCTTCACCTCCAGGACAATCTTTGTACCCATCACAAACTTTGACAACATCAATGCAAAACCTCGAATTTCCACAAACAAACTGGCCAACAGAGCACCAATCACACTGGGATTCGTCAGAATAGTCCCAACAATCTGGAATTCCGTCACAAATTTTTTGATGGAGCAACTGCGACCTCAGAAAGTCAGCACACGTGCAATTCGCTTCGTCCTCAGAATTCGCGCACTCTCCCAACATATTACACCTTCCCGCAGCGGGAAGACACTTTCCGTCCGGGCATTTGAACCCCTTGCAGCTTTCAGAATTTTCTTTTACAACCTCTTCTTCATCCTTGACAACTTTATTTAGAACTTTCTTATGAACTTCAATTCCATCCCTACTTAGCGTAACTTGGCTGCTGAAATTCCCCGCAATTGTTTTATTTCCCATCGCAATATCCGCGAATTTCTTCAGCTCCTCAACATCCACAAAATTCTTATGATTCTTATCAATTTCCGGAAACTTTGTCACTCTCGTACTATTTTTTCCTTTCACAGAATCTGAATCTGTTCTAACCTCAGCTAACTTTTTCAGTTTCTCCAAAATCGCCTCCTTTTCCTGCGTCGAAATTTTTCGATCAAAAGACTGCAGAGTTTTTAAATCAAACGTTTCCAAATCACTAGGACTAATTTGGTCACTAAATGACCGATTTTCTGAATTCGCTCCCTCAGAATTTTTCCCGTTTTCTTCTTCATCATTATGAATTATTGGCGGTGAAGTAGAATTGGTGATATCAAAGCTTAAAACAACATTGTTAGTCCTAACTTTCGTGGAAACTTTGGTGCTAATCGACGTAACAACTTCTACAATGCTTTGAATCGGTCTATGCTCCTCCACATTCGACGGTTTGCTCTCGAGATCTTTAGTACTGAATAACTTCTCCAACAATTCACTGCTTCTAATACTACCTTCATCCATTAGCGACTTTTGGCTTTCCGTAGCATTTGTCACGCGTGGATTGGCATCCCGATTTTCATCTCTCACAATGTTCGCCTTCAAAGTTTCATTGTAAGTCTTTTTCTGTTCCACTTCAGGCTTAGTTTCGTTGTTCCACGTCCAAATAAACAGCTCCGGAGCTTGAGTTTGACCCTCCGTTGTTTCCAAAACTTCAGAAGCCACAGTAGCTTGCTGAAGATCCAATTTCTCAGTATCAAAATTGGTGTGCAGCAACTCAGCATCAATTTCAGTAGTGCTCAGAGTCATAACCTTATCATCATCAATTCTGTCCGTCGAATCTGATGGAATAAAATCAACTTCAGTAACACTAAAATCTTCATATTTTGCACTATAATTACTTTCATTAATGATCTTTTCATCTTTGTTTTCTTCAATTTGAACCTTTTCTGGGTTCAAATTGATCTTATCCACAGGAATGGTGTGCCTAAAAGGTTTCAAGGTCCCCGAATGCTCCACCAGACTAGGATTGCTCTCTCCGTTCAAATTAGGTGTTTTGTAGCTCGTGTAAATCGGCTGCTTTTCATCTTTCTCTTGAACCCTCTCCGGCAGAGCCGCAATATCCGAAAATTTGTTCCTCGACTCTAGATCCAGCTCCAAGTCCAATTCCGAAACAGGCTCTGCTATTCCAACCCCAGAAATTTCAGAAAATTCAGAAGTCAGCAAAATCGGCTCCTCAGTTTCTATAACCGGATGCTTTGAATCAACTGGCTTAAAATTCTGAGTCCCGGAAGTTCCCACATGCAAATTGAAAGTTTCTGGAGGAAGTTGGCCAGAGACTTCAATTTCCGGTTTCTCGAGCTCTTCCACCCCTGGAATTTTATTTTTAAACTTCCCATTCGGCCTGAAGTTCACCATTTCTTGCGGGACTATTCTGTCATGAGGGAAATCCGTATCCTGCATGTCAACAGGCGACAAAGCTACGGCAGGAAGGTTAAATTTGATCGCTGGGACTGGAGTGGTTAAAGAAATCTTCTCTATTTCAATAGAACTTTCAGTTTTCACCCCAGAATCTTTCAGTTTTGACTCTTGACTGTAACTGGGTATGATTGGACGCCAGGGGGATTCTTCAAAGTCTGGTTGTGGAAAACTGTTGAAAGGCTTTTTGGTAGTAGTTGTAGTAGTGGTAGGAGAAGTAGTTGACGAAGTACTAGTAGTACTTTCTTCTTTCCAACTAACTGAACTAGTAATTTCTTCAGTTGTCGTTTCTTTTCCAACCTTTGTTTCCTTTTTTATTTCGATGACTCCTGATTCGATTTTGGTTTCAGTTTTTTGAATTTGAGAACTAACCTCGGTGGTGGTTTTGGTAGCCACAGGATTAATTTTGGTCGCCTGATAGGTTCCCTGGATAGTCGGAATATTTGCAAAGTCAATGTCAGCCTCGCTGGGTTCCATCTTGGCGGGTTTTGAATTTAGATTTGGTTTCGATTTGGTGTTGATCAGAAGCGTGTTATTTCTGGAGGGACGGAGAAGTCCATTTTTGGTTATCATTGCATTGCGCTGGGACACCAGGGGTTTTTGCGTCCTCGGAGAAACATCGGTAAGTCCTGGAAAAGGACATAAATAAATAAATAAATAAATAAATAAATAAATAAATAAATAAGGTTAATTTAATTGACAGGCTTGCCTACAAAAGTAGATGAGTAATTAAATTTGATTGAATGTGCATTAATGTTTTTATTTTATTTTAGTAGTTAATTTGATTTGATATTATATTTAATTGATGGTAATTTTAATTAATTTTAATTACTGCGGACGATGATGTTGGTAAGATCTAGTTCCATGTCATTGAAGAGTGATGAAGATGAGTAGGTTTCTTGAGCAATTATATCCTGTACGGTTTCTTCGACGTTAGTTATGCTACGGGGAATCTTTCTTCTGTCCAGGTACAACCTGAAAAAGACCTTGAGCGTGCCATTCTCGAATCTATCTATGATAGCTTGCTTGAACGAGGGTCCAAGGACACTTCTTTTGAAGAGCGCGTCAAACTATAAACGACAAAAGAATTTATTTATTTATTTATTTATTTATTTATTGATAAGTATAAATGTATGTTGCTTTATTATTTAGTCTAATTTATTATCTTACATATTTTTTAGGGTAAAATAATATAGCAACATACTTATATGTATTTATATTTATTTTATCGGTGCTTTGAATTATTGTTTTTAGTCGGTATGTCATGCGAAATATTACTGCGCTAAGACCATATACAAGAGACTGAGGACTAAGAACTAAGAACTAAGATACCAAAGCAAATACAATTTGACTCACTATGTTTTTGTATTTGCGTTCCTTCTCGCGGAATACCATGCTCGTATTTAGTTTTAGCATCGGATTATACTTTTCTCCTCTGTTAATCCGTATGCTGCAGGAGAACACAAGTACCGCTGGAAAAGTTTTTTTTTGTTTGTTAATTTTTTTTATGTTTAGAAAATTTTTTTGAGAAAAACACTTTTTGAAAATACTTACCGTTGGTCGAGTCGGATCTCATGGCTGAAAACAATTTTTTTTCATTAGTAACAATAATATTATTATTATTATTATTATTATATTTAGTTATTATTTTTGGTTTTAATTAAACTTACCTCCCATCCATAAAGCAAGCCCGGCAATAGCTACTACTACAATTATTACTAATAATGCTGCTATTATGAGCACGGCGCTGCCAACTTTCCATCTGGCGTTCCCGTGTGTTTTTGAAGGATGTGGAGGTACACGTGACCATGCTGATCTTGGTGGTAAATAATAGTCATTCTGAAAAAAATAATATATTGTTTTTTGAGACAATATTTTAATAAAAATTTTTAAATTGTCCTATAAAATTTCAAGTAAATTTTTATAAAAAGACCTGCCAAGTCGTATATCAAAGAGGTACTTTGTCGTAACTATGAAATATCAAGACAATTCCGAGCGTGGTGTAGCGAATTTGTTTTATTATAATTTATTAATATTAAAAAACCGTATTAAATTTACGATATTGTCCGTAGCGGTATTTTGTAAGGACATTCATCGTGCAGAACACAAATGGTCTGTGCCGTTATGAACGTCATCATGGTCATCGGTAATGTGTTTAGAATTTTTATAACTCGCGGCAGAACAATCACGACAATCACTATTAATAGTATATTATAGGCATAAACAACCCCGCAATAAATACAATCAATGATGATAATAATAATAATAATAATAATAATAGTAAATTATGTAATAATAAAATCATTTTCATAATATATAAAATTATAAATTATAATAATTACAAATTACAAGTGCTCTTAATTAGTGTATTATATTAAATATTCCCTTAAATATTATTACACTATAAAAATAAGGAAGAAGCATTAATGTTGAGCATAAATATACTGTTAGCTCTCAGTCACGCTTAAGTATTTTCATTCACATCTGCCTCTTAATTCAAATCAACACATTTCAGGATGTTTGTTTTTTATTCACTAATTATTATATATATATAAATAAAATTTTTAAATAAAAAACCTTCAGTAGACATTTAATTTAAAAAAAACCAGACAGTTTTTCGTGATAAATTTTTCAAAGATAAAAATTAATATAAGATTTAAAAAAAAAAGATTTAAAAAAAAAAAAAAAAAATCCTATTTGATCTGAGTTTGACTGAAAAAATTTTACTCCGAGTTTTTTTATCTAAAAATCTCACCGTCCATTAACATCAGGAATGTCGGTAAATAAAGAAAAGCCTCGTATTAAATAAAGAGTGATGCTGGTAGAGTATAAAATAGTGGCTGCTCGAGAACGATTACTCCGACTCGACAGAATCCCTTCAAGCTGATCGCAATTATTTTTTACTTTAGCGTAGTAAAACAGAAACAATAAAAGTTAAGTATTGAAGCAGAAACTCATTTAATAAAAAATAACTACGACAGAATTTACTGATGAATAGATGAAGGACAAAATTAAAAAAATATACCGATTATATTATGATATGATATATTAGGCCCTGATCGGTGCTTAGTCAGATTACCGATCCTATTGTGGGAAGCAATTAAATGACGTGTCTTATCATATATATTATGCATGCATTTATTTTAATCTAGGTCAATGGCTATAATCTAGATCGCGATGGTCGTCCTTAAATATTCATATCGGCTCCTAGGAAAATAACATTGATGTAATAAATAATAAATAATAGAATAAAAACAAAGCTTAGAAGGTTTGCCGAGTAAAAATAAAAGCGCATTGTTGAATTGAAGATTGATGCATCTTCTCGTTCTCGGTACTCAACAGCTCACTTACACTGTGATACCAAGCATGACAAACTACTCGGATCACAGAGCGTGGTAACAGCTACATGGCGACTCATAAAACATCATTAGCCCTTACTAAATTACTAGATAATAACTTGCGGAAGTGACACCCTCATATTTAGTCTGGGCTTTAATTTAGATTCATACTTTTTTTTCATCTTGTTTAGTTTTTTCTTAATTATCTCGGGTAATTATTGTGATTTGTTAATTTATCTTTGGTTTTTGTCAAGGTAAATTTATTTTTTTTAAAGATAATAATATAAATATTTGGTTGCAAATAAAAATTTTAATTTTGGTGAAAATCTATTATTTTGCACGCATAAAACTCATCTTACTTCTATAAAACTTAAACCGGGGAAAAAATGGTGATTATTACTGGAGGTATTTATAATAATTAAAACAACAAAATAATGAATAATAAATAAAACGTTAAAAAGGCACGTATAGATGCAAATGAATTCAGCGGCGTGACTCGGTGATTTCCGGTGTATCGTATTCGTGCATGATTATGTTTAGAACCGGCTACTGCACTTGCAGGAATTTATTTAACTATCGCTGATGTTACTTTGATTATTTTATAATATCATTTAATTCGCTATTGCCATTATTTATAAATTTATAAATTTATAAATTTATAAATTTACAAATAAACAGAAGCGTCGACACAAAGCTCAATAATTTCAATTTGAGATTATCCAGACACCTCAAATAGTTATTATATATCCTGATCCTTATGTTTAATGCATGAGGTAGGTGAAATATAAATACAAATAAGGGGAAATAAAAGTCTAACAGAGAGCAGACAAAATATATATATATATATATTTATATATTTATAAGTTAAGTGTAACTCCAGTCGTTCCACCAGTTCCGTGGCCTAAAGGCCTAGGGCCTGTATGACCGTCAGAGATACCGAATCCTCCTGAACTACCATGACCTCCAGGAGAACTATGACCTTCAGCAGAACCACTACCAGTTCCAAATGTACCTCCACCAGAGCCTGCATGACCAAATCCTCCACTGCTACCATGTCCACCAGGAGAACTACCTGCTCCATGACCACCACCAATTCCATAGCTTCCTCCACCACCTCCATAACCTCCGGTAGAGCCAGTATGGCCGCCGTCAGTGAGACCAAATCCTCCACTATTACCATGTCCACCAGCAGAACTGTGACCTTCAGCAGAACCACTTACTCCACCGTGACCTTTATGACCTCCACCAACAACACCGAAACCTAAATCAGGAGTAAAACCTACTCCAATACCCCCGTGACCTCCTCCTCCAACACCAAATCCTACATCTAATCCATGGTCACCATTACCAGTGCCCAGAACATTTGTTCCTAATCCTCCAAAGCCAGTATCATGCTCAAAACCACCACCAGTATGAGAACCACCTTCATTATAACCACCTTGGTCGTAATTTCCTCCTATTCCTGGGCCTCTAAATCCGCCACCTGATAAAATATTTAATCTATTAAAAATCGTTAAAAGGAATAAAAATCATTTTGGTGAAAAATTTAAACTTACCATTAGTTTGAGAACTAGCGCCTGCTGTTGCTGATGCTCCAGAACTTGCTCCGGTATATCCATTGGTTGGTATGGTACCACCCTGTGAATAAATTGGAACTTTATGTCCCCCACCAGATCCATAATATCCTCCGTGTCCTCCATGTCCTCCAGTGTATCCGTTATTTCCACTTCCAAAACCACCTAGTCCACCATTTCCATGATATCCACCAGTACCTTTAATATAAATAAATAATAAAATTGTTATTCCAAATAATTAAATTAAAAGAAAAATAGTAAGGGAGAAGAAATTTTAAGTATAAAGTTAGTAGAAGTGAAAGTAAAATAATTAATTATTGTCAGTATCAAAGAAAATATATTTATAATAAAACTTACCACCAGCACCACCAGCTATACCAGATGCTGCAGCATTTGCATTAGCATTGGCATTGGCATTAGCATTAGCATTAGCACCTCCAATACCACCACCATTATTATTATTATTACCTCCAAGTCCGCCATGTCCTCCACCTCCATAATAACCACCTCCATTATTGTATTGATGTCCTGCGCCACCAGCGCCGCCGCCTCCTCCAAAACCGTGATCTAAACCTCCTGCACCGCCATGAAATCCCTCTTGGTGTAAACCTTGATTACCGTCGTTAAAATATATTCCATCATTATTGATCGCCCCAGCATCAGCGTCTGCTCTGCCGAGACCGGTCGTCTTGGTGTCGGTTTTGGTATAAGTTTGACCATCCCTTAAACCACTACTCGAACTGGATGATGAGCTGCTTGATGAACTCGCAAATCTTCTGTTACGGAAATCTGGTAATATTTTTTTTCGACATTATTATTATTATTATTATTATTATTATTATAGATTATTAATTTCAGTATCATGATTTAATATTGATTTTTAGGAGAAAAAAAACGTACCTTGGGCATTGGTAGTTAAAACCAGGAGGGCTAGAAGCCCGAAACTAAGTTTACTTGTTGCCATGTCGAAGTCAAACTGTGCTGATTATCCAGAAACCAGATAGTAATATACCCGGATCTCCCACTCTTTTATTTTTTGTTCGATTTTTCTGTTGATTGTGAGATTGTCGATACGAGTAGCTTGAGCTGGACTCAAGCTACTCTCGTCGGGTTGGTCTTGGTCCCTCCTTCTCACCTTCCAACTAATTGACGTATGTCGTGAGTATATGATATTTTATCGCTACTTCCTCGTAATAATATTCGTTTTGATTATTCCCTTACCTTCTGAAATCCCCAGGCTTTGTTGTTACGAGATAAGACTTTTTTTCGGTTACCGTTTCAAAAGTAAATCAATATAAATAAAAATTGATATTTATTATTTAAAAGTTTTATATTTTTATAAAATAATTAATAATCGATTCTTTGGGTTTTTTTTTTTATTTTTTTTACTAAACGATTAATTATCTTAACTCTCATTAAAATTAAAAAATTTTTAAATGCTCGACTAGTAATTTTAGAATTGTTGAGTAACATTTATAATAATTGTCATCAATTACTACAATTAAGAAATAAAAATCGAAATGATAAAAAGTAATAATTTTTTTGTTTACTTGGGTCTTTCCAAAAAATTTTAAATTAGATATTTTAATCCTTTTCTAAAATTTTTCTACAACAGAAATTTAATAATTTATTATATATTTGTCCTGATGTAGTTATCGCACTCGTAACTATCGTAAGATGCAGTAGGGAAAATCCTCGATGACTCATCAGAGCGGTACATAAAACTGGATTTTCCAAAATAATCCAATTATCAGATAAATAATAGAATGAAAATGAGAACAGCTCTCATTTTAAGATCAATGTCTATTGATTTGATGATATTCACAACTAAATAATAAATAATTAATTTAAAAAATATATAAACTTGAACTGCATACTGCATCAGGTCATATCACAAAAGTACTTATTTATGATAACCCGAGATAGTAATGCTTTCCAAGAAAAGTGTAAAACTAGGATTTATTACGAAATTAATATCTCAAATTAGGACAAGGTCAGTTTTATTTCATTTTTTTTTTTTTATTCGAAAAAGTTCTTTTATTTGCTGCTTGCTTTTAATTATCGATTTTAAACTTATTATATTATTAAAAATTATAAAAATTATTATTATTATTGCTGCTTGTAGTTATAATTATAATTAATCGTTTTAATTATTATTATATAATTATAAAATAACCGATTACCTCATCTTGAAGATGGGATTAAATATTTGTTTATAGTCCGTGATGGTGAGTATATACACATAGCACGATGATGGAAAGGAGATTACCTTCATCGATACTGTTTGTAAACCGAGTACGTACAAAACTGAATATTCAACTCGTTCACTCATTTTCAGACGTAATATCCAGTAAACTACTTCTTCTTCTTCTTCTTCTTCTCAGTAAAACACTTATTGAAAAACCTCAAGGTCGAAAGACTTGGTACAAATAAAAATACTTCCTCAAGATATAATTTATTATCTTTTTAAAATTAAATTATGCGTTTTTTTATTAGAGTAAATGTTATTATATTATTTATATAGCTTTTTCTTTTTTTTATCTGACTCATAACAATTGGGTTTTGTATTATTTATTAGTTAAGGTTTGACGTCGGGAATTCCTGTCATTCAAAACCGGTTTTTGACTTTTTTTTTTTTTTTTTTTTTTTTATTTTTTTTTTTTTTTTTTCCAATTAATTTATCCTCAAAATTATAACAAATTATTTTTACTGTAATGATTAGCAATAATCCCGGTAATTAAATAAATGTGCATACATAAATAAAATGTAAATAAAGATTGGAGTGATGATAAAAAAAATGTTTGCCTCAACCCCGTTTAGTGGATTCAAACGTCTCTATTTCCCACACATTTTGATAAATGACAGTCGAGATAAATTAAACTAAACGCTCAACTTTTCAACGTCATTGTAGTGTTCACCGCACATCAATCAGCTTCAAATACTGCTACACACTACACAAACATACTCATCATAATTATAATTATTTTAATTAATCACATAACTTAAAATCTAGGCTTAAAAAACAAATAAATAAATAAATAAAAATAAGAAATACAGTTGATTATTTTATATATAATTTTTATTTTTATTTGTAACTGGGTTTAGTTTTATCAATTATTTATTTAGTAACGGATTTAACTATCAATTCCAATTTAAAAACAATTCCTTAAGTATAAATGTATAAAAGAGTTTTTTTTTTTTTTTTTCTATCAGCTGCCTTTGTCTATTTATGATTATTGATTACATTTAAATATTTTTATACTTTATCACGGAATAATTTCTAATAGCTTTTAGTAATAAATGATTGGTCAAAATTTCCAATTAAAATTTTACTCTTACAAATCTCAATTAATATTAATTAATAATTAAATACAATAGCTCATCTGAAGAAAATATAATTAATTAATTAATTAATCAACAGATTGATTTATAAAAAAAACACGGACGAATTTAATTAATTTTTAATAAAAATAAAATAACTAAAATCGCTATAAAAATTTACCTAGCAACATTTACTCTTATTTGTAACATATGATTAATAATATTGTTATAAATTTCAACAAAATTACTGTCTAATTATTAAGACATAATAACTCTAGAGTAAATAAAATTGTAATTATAATTTATAATTAAATAAAAATATTTAACCTCGTAGCATCGCTCGATATTTATCCAGCGCTCATACGATACTATTATTTACAATCAATAATTGTATAATTTTTTTTTATAAAAAAAATTTTTACAAGTTAACAATTTAAATTATTTTCCAATTTCGTATTTTCAAGGCCGCTTTTTTGATTAATTTTTTCAATATCATAAAAAATTTTTTAAAAATTCTTTGTAAAAAGTTTAAAATTAGTAAAAATATAATAAATACATTACTGCGTATTTTTCAATTAAATTAAATAAAGTTAAATATTTATTTGTTAATAATTCTCTTTATCGGCAAAATTAACAGGAATGTGACTTTGTTAAGTTGCGCTTCTAATTACTTCCATCCATCTGTAAAAAAAAAAAAAAAAAAAATTCAGTTTATAAAATATAAAAAAAAATAACAAAGATGACAGACAAACCCAAAAAAAAAAAAATTAACTACCTTCCAAATGTAAAGTCACTTTCAGCACGGAAGAAGTAAACATGATTTTTAAATTGTAATTTAAATACATAATCTTTATTAATGCCATCTTTATCCGACGGTGTCGAGACGGTGTAACCCAGCAGTGGCAGACTCGCCAGTGGAAAGTCATCTTGGTGGGATTTGTAAAAAAACAAGCAAAAGTTTGTAAAGACAACCCAGAGTTTTTGCCATCCGTTGCTGTTTTTGAATTTTCGGAGCAAAAATCCACTTAGTTGATTCTGGAAGGCGCGTAACTGGTCGCTGTAACTGATACTGGTGTTACGGTGCCAGCATACATGGACGGTTGTATTACTACGCTGAGAAGCTTTGGCACCTCCACAGCTTGAACGGTCTAATTCAAATCCTACTTCATCGGTAGATCCTAGCGCTGCTAAAAACATTAAATTCCATAAATAATATAATTATTTAAAATAAAAATTGAATTTTAACCACGTGGAAAACTTACTTGATGACTTAAGACTGAGATAAGGAGTCTTTCCATCAACAGTATCAGCCTGAGCAATCGCCATATTAATATCCTCAATCCACCGCTCTTTATCTTCCTCATTATTAGCAGCAGCAGTAAGCGACTGATTGCCTTGCTCAATAACAAAAACATGATCCGAGCCAATTTTGTTGTCCTCCCCCCCTTCCCCATCTTTTAGGATCATCCCCTTTAGTGGCATCTGCCCCTGAACACGGAAGCACTGGATAGGTTGTTGAGTACGGAATGTATAGAGTAAAATATCGGAAAATAAAAAAAACATCCGCTGCTGGTATCCCTTGAGGCTGTACTTTTGTAAACAGCCTTGACGGATGAACCGACGGCCTTCCTGAACCAGATTATCAAAACCATTGATATCTCTCTGGAGCTCGCACAACTGGACGAGGTTTTGCGCCTGATTCAGGACTGTCAGACCTTCTAGAAGAGTTTCTCCGAGACGATCTCTCGCAGCCAGACAGTCCTCAAAGTCGGTATGGTCCTTTGGGTAGTGGTCCAACAGGCGGTCAATAATACTGTTGTAGTGCAGCAGCCGCTGGAGAGGCTTCAGCAGGAAAGAACTAAGAGGTAAATAACAGTATTTTTGGCTCTCGAATTCCCGACAGAGTTGGTCAAACCGACGCGATGTTCGTATCGAGTACTCCATTTTTTCTAGCACTGGCATCAACCCCTCCAAGTATTGATCGTACAACGGAAGAACATTCAGCAGAGTGTTGTAGAGAAAATCCCCGATATTGTGCCGAGCGTTGCTCTCCCACCGGGCGAGACGTACTTCCATTTCTTGGAGACACGGCCCGTGGGCATCTGCTAGCAGTTCTATTAATCCCACTAAAGGCTCGCCCTCCAAGTCAGACTCCCTTGATACTTCTTCTCGGAACCACTGAAACAATACCAATTTAATTAATTAACTTGTTCTGTTCAAGTACATTTAATTTTGTTTTAGTAATAGGTGATGTGGTATATTATATTATATTACTTACCACATTTATTACGTCCAAGTCTTTTTTAAAGGTTCTTTCGGTCATGAGAAGTTCTTTGGCAATAAAATAAGCTTTGTCGGTAGGCCATTTCTGTAATATACAGGTAATATACAATTAAAGGAATATCTTTTTAATAATAAAAAAAAAAAAAAAAATAAATAAATAATAATATATACCTTAGTTTTTTTAACATCAGAATCATCAAGTTCAGCAATTTTAACTGACCTCTCAAGACTTAAATTAGCAGAATTTATCACATTAACATTGACACTAATATCAGCGAGGCCATTAGTCTTCTCAGATTTCCCGTTCAAGAAAAATGAATTATTGTTCTCCGCCTTGGGTGTTTCTTGATCATCGCAATCTTCATTGTCCTTAGCATCAACACCATCTGTAAGAGAAAAACTATTAAAAAATCTAAAAATAAATTTTATTAATAACAAATAACGTGATAAGGACAAACTGGGATCATGCGACATTGCAGCGTATTTTAAATAATTAAATAATAACTTAACAATACAATAATATTTTTTTTTATTTAATTTTAAATTCAAATAAAATAACGTGCCCGCATGCATTTTTAATTGTACATAACTTAAAGCTAATAAACATTCAGTCTTAAGGGTGGGTGCATCGCTTGTTGCTCCCTAACACAGAAATAATAAATATGTGAGTTAATTATTTTCAAATTAAATCAATAAAAATAACGATAATTTTGCTAAATAATAATAAAATGCAGCGGATAAGTTTTTTTTTTTTTTTTTTTTTTTTTTTTTTTGTGTGCTCAATAACATTTAAAAAACATGTAAATATATTTTAATAAAAATATATTAAATTTTTTCTTCCTTAACTTGGGGATTACTCACACTTGGTATTGTCATCCAGTCGACCAACAATTCCACGAGTGCGATTTAATATTTAAGAAAGATAACAAAACAAACAAATAATAAAAAGGTAAAAAATAATAAAACTCAATTAATTTTTTACAATAATAAAAAAATTATTGACAACTGTGATAAAAATTTAATAAAAAAGAAATAACTACCTGTAAATGACTTTGTATATAATTTATTAATGTTATTATTATGTATCAATAATTAATGTACAATAAATTTCCTACGATTTCATTAAATTTCTTTCCATCACGTTCTTCCTCAATTTAAAATTCTTTTTTATTACTGTTTATTAAATAATATCTTTAGTTTATTATTATTATTATTATTATTTTTTTTTTTTTTTTTTTTTTTATTATTTGCGTTTAATTTAAATTTAATTATTAAACACTTAAGGAAGAGCTCAATTTGATTTATCGAATAACGTTATTAATTTTAACAAGCATCGGTAATTGTTATAAAATCGACGCGCCTTTCATTCTTTTATGTACTTTATTTTATTTATTTACTTATATATTCTGCCAAAAGACAAACGGGTATAAGTTACGATTTTAATAAGTAAGATCCTCATAATTTATATTTAATTGTATTAGTTTTATTAAAAATTTACTTTTTAATTACTCTTATTGATTTAATTAATAATGGATCTTTTAAAGCTCATGAAAAAAAAATTCTTGACTGACAGTCTCAATAAACAATAATGGTATATAATTAATAATAATCATCTTTATTAATTATAAACTAACCAAAGACCCGACAATTATATAATTTATAAATTATTTTTTGTAATCGACACCGCATGGTCGAGAATTTTTTTTTTTTATTTTTATTTATTTATTTTTTTTTTTTTTTTTTTTTTT